AATGGAACAAAAGGAAAAAGCTTTAAACAATGGAAATTGGAACACACATTAATTAAAAAATTTAAAATACTCTTTCTACACCTGAGAATAGAACCAGCTAAAATACTTATAAATTGTAATTGTTTGTCAATTTTAAACTTTTTCAGTACCTGAAAAATATCGCTCATTAACGATAAAGCCTATTAATTTAAATCTGACAATTTTGTACTACTATGTTAATTGTTTAAAAAATCTTGTCAGAAGCTTCAACATCGAAAGCGAACGAACATTGTAAAATTGCACAACAATTACCAGCACGGCAAGCCCTTCATATTATCTGTGGAATATATCAAGATCGGCGTGGCCGCTGGTGACAGAATACAAATGTCGACCTCATAATTCCTAACAAATACCACGTCATGGGTCACCTTATGAAGTAAACAATTGGTATGAAGATAAGACAGCAATTTATATATATATAGCTACGCCTTCAGAAGCCTTGCCAAGGTTTTACATGAAATTTCTGATAAGTATAGTCATGTATTATTATAAATTTAAAATTATGTTAAATAGTTGTAAATTTATAATAATACATAAGTTCAATCCGGTCAAAATAGTGTTTTATTAAATGAATAAAAGTTATGTTAATCAAAGACAATACTAAGTATAGTCAACTAGGTAGCTGTTCTTGCCACGCTTCGCTGTGGCACATTGTGATTGAATGGTTGAGAAATGAGAAACAAAACAAATAAAACAATTTTGCAATACTTGTGAAATAAAAAAATAAAAATAAAATAAAAAAAATGATAAAAAAATATATAAAAACAATCCTTGATGCGGATTATATATCATGCTAAAGTTTCAGCTCGATCGGTGCAGCACTTTTTGAGTTTTTGAAGCGTACACAAACCAACATAACATTTTTATATATGTATATAGATGTGTCACCTCACGCGCGTTCGATTAATCAGGCCATTTTTGTGGCAGGCTTTTACTGGAGGGGAAGGCCTTTTTTAATTCCGCACAATTAAGATATTAGCTGATCGCAGTTCATCTTGTGGAAACAGTAAAAACTGCTACTACTGGAAACTATACGTTATAGACCAATTGTCATATTTTTGTAACAAGTCTTCTTACTATAACTTGTAAATAGAAAAAATAAAAAACCCATATTTTGAATTTAGCTGAAAATATTAAATAATTGCTCAATATTTCTATGAATAAACTATTGAGTTTTTATCTTTGCTAAGTTCTTTACCCTGTTCCAAATTATATGACTGGTAGATGTGTTAATGACAAAATAATTAAGTCACACCCTTAAACAAATTTTATCCACGATAGTCTTCGGATTTTTTTTTAAATTTAATTAAAACACTAGTAAACAACTTTTATTTTGATATATTTTTAAATGTTGGTTAAATACTAAAATAATCTACTTGATTTTACAATAAATTTTTGTTTGAAAAACTCGACTGAACCTGTTAATTTTATTTGGAAAATAATTTGGGGCCTCCTTTGTTGGCCCGAGGCTTTAAATCCGGCCCTGATCGTCATTACCTTCTAAAGACGCGGAAAATACAATAAAGTTTAAGTAAGCTACCGTACTAGTACCAATAATCCGTATCTGACATCTTAAATACGTTAATTATGAAATTTTGTTTTCAATTGTAGCTCAGTTCGCAACTGTCAAATATGCACTTTATAGAAAAAGTATTCGTAACAATTATGACTTGTATTTTGAATATAGAAACTTTAATAAAGGAGGCCAAATCTATTACAACCTAATGCGACTCATAGAATATAGATGGCAGCACTTGACATAGATCTTAAGCACGCACATCTGATATCTGGCCCTTAAGGTAATAACGTGATGAGCATTCAACACTTGTAGCGAAACTGGGCTATTGAGGATATAAATAAAACCCAAAGTGACTAGGATACGTACACTATTGTACATAATATAAATAAATTTCTCTATTTTTATGATAGTAAGTAGTAGTTATTAAATAAATCCTTAACATAACAATAAAATATAGAGTATTTACAATTTATTTAACCTACATAGGAATAATAAAATTAATTAAAAATTACTATAAAGAAAATTTAAAAAAAATTAAAAAGTTTTGTCCCTGTGGCAGTGTACCTTTAACGCTGGCAGCATTACCTCGCTCTATTGCGATACTAATTCGATGAGCGAAAAAAGCACCAGCTCTAAGGTCACCAGTACTATCTACCAGGCGCCAACTTAAATCTTTAAGCGCCTGTGCACTTGAACCCCACGGTCCAAGAGTCTCTACTCCAAAGAACAAAATGGAAATTGGAGGAAAGACTCATATATTTTAGCCGTTTAGTATTTTCCGCCTGCCCCCGGCCCCAGCTTTTATGATAGAAGTAATTTCTCTATTACTTCTATCATAATATTTATATAATTTTAACTGTATGTTTTAATTATAGGTTTATACTATAATATCATCGTAAATATAATATTTTAAACATGTATAATCTTTTGTTGATACCTGATTAACCGAGACGGAAATACGTGAAACTATCGCGACTGGCAGAAAATCACAATATTCTATCAATAGCAGTTAGAATGAATATTATATATATGCATTTTCTTTTAGGTACAAGGTTCTAGTCTTGACGACATGGAACAGACAATTTTGTGAGTTCGTTTGATTAGATATATTAACTGTAACCGTGGTTTAACTAACTACTTTAACAGTTAAAAATCGCTTAGAAACCTAACATAGCTTTAGCTGCAAGGCACTTAATAAATAAAGGTCGCATAACAATGCATAAGGCTAAGAGAAAATATTAGAAAAATATACGAGTACATTGATACAACTCAAGTAGTAGTTTCTCCCTCGAAACTACGGGTTACGTAACTGTGTAAAAATCGTGTGAGGGGGGGATGACAGGGACGTTACGATGCAGGGCGGGGATTGAAATACGCGTTATTGTTAATATTATGTTCGACTTTCCGGTACTTTACACCACAAATTGGTAACTTGTAGGTATAAACAGTCACTGGGTGGTTACGAAACGTACAGAAAAACGTTACGGCGCGTTACATTGGGGGGGAGGGGGGTCAAGAATCTCCAAAAGTTGCGTGACGTAATACTTGAACGCTCCCTAAACGATATATGTATTTCAATACTTGTGACTCGTCCCGATATCGCTCCAATGGACATATTTTTAAAGAAATTTTATGAGATTTTTTCGTTTCAAAATGCAAATCTATTATCTTCATAATTAGTATAGAGATATAAAAAACAATTAAAGAAATAAACTCCTAGAAAAACCTGAATCTTCTCAAATATAAAAAGCACAAAAAATACGCAATGTTTTCACATGACTCAGTAATTTAGCAAATGTAACCAGCGCAAATTGGGTGTAATTAGGTTCACACCACGCCATTAACGCGGCGTTTAAACAATGCTTATTTTAAACCACTTTTTGCTTTCTAATTATTCTTGTGAATTAAAAGCTTTAGAGAATTTAGAAATTATTATGTTGTATAGTATTTGCTAAGATTTGTATTTTAATACTGATTTATTATTCTCGTGAATATTTTTTTTAGGCATACACATTGTTTAAGAACGTATAAAAAAATAAATATTTCTTTTCAAAATCACATTAACTGCATTCTATTTATCTTGCTTATAAATATACTAATTCAACGAAAAAATTTCGTATAGTTAGTAATACTTTTCTTTCTTTTCATTTATAAAAAATAACTTTTAAATTTAAATTTATTTAGATAATGAATTTTTAAAATCTTTTACGTAAGTCCGTCTAAACATGTCATTTATAAATGCTCTGCAGTTTCTATTATTTTTTCAAGTTGGTATCATCATAACGTTTTGATGAATTTTGTTACAACCAAAATAGATAACTTTTTTGCCAAACTAATAACAGACAATAAAAACAACTGGATCACCTGTTGGCGGTGACTCAGCGTCTGCTAACTCAGACATCGCTAAAACCGACAAAGTAACGTATCTCTATCTTCCTATTAGGTATAGAAGGAGATAGCATTGGCTTTGAAATGCTTTCCGCAGGTAGTTATTATCAAATTGTAGTATATACATTTACTAAAGCCATATATAGGCGAAACCTTTCTACTGTAATATCAGGCATATGCCGTGTTTATTAAAGTTCGTAGAAAAAGTTACAATAAAAACTCTGAAAATTTATTTATACATTTTATCAATAAAAAGAGCAGTGTTGGGTTAGTCGCTTCGGCGTGCGACTCTCATCCCCGAGGTCGTAGGTTCGATCCGGCTGTGCACTAATAGACGTTCTGTCTATATGCACATTCGCTCGAAGGTGAAGGCAAAGCTCGTGAGGAAACCGGCTTGCCTTAGACCGATTTCCGAATTCGACAGGCGTGTGTCAGGCACAGGAGGCTGATAACCTTGTATATTAGATTTACAAATGATCATCACCTAAAAAGGTTGTAGCGCCACTGATTTTTGTTCATAAGAAAAAATCTCGGATAATTAAAGGAGTACAACGCTATAAAATAATTAATTAAAACTCGAGATATTTACTAGAGAGTCATCATAATATTTATTATTTCATCAAAGCCAAGTGAAAGTAATGATTACGTTCGTATTCATAAAATTAATTGATCGATTGCTCTTTAAAAATTGTATAATTTTTGAAGAGTAATTATCTGGATTGAATATTATGTCTTCATTTACGACAGAATACTTGATTATCGTTCATTAATGATATGAAATTTTAATGATCAGTAATAAGTGATCATTAAAATGAGTAGGGTCTCGTCTGTATTTTTTCGGGAAAGAGTAAAATCATTCGAATTAAGAGATAAGTTTACGATTGTACCAACGATTTCAATTAAAACTTTAATATAAATAACGAATTCAAGTTGTTATTTTGCGTATCGTTTTGATAGTTTACATTTCTATTCTAGTGTTAAACACCTTACGCAAACACATGACAAAAATATTGCCAATTTAACGGATCGATCTCAAATTAACGGTCAATATGCAATGGATATTTTGGCAAAGGTCACAAAAGGAAAGCGAACGGTAGTTGGTACAAACATGTCAGGGAATGATTATGCAAACTCTGTTTACAGCGATATGAAAATGTATATCGCTCCAATTATTTTCTACAGTTAAGTTTAAGTGTAGAAGTTCAATTAAAACGAGGGCGTCTCTGATCTATTTTACAATTTAAACAAATTCAAAATGTTATGAAAAATTAATTAATGCGTCTGCTTTGAAGTGGGTAATATATTTCACAAACAGCTTGCCTTCTAACTTTTTAATACTCTTGCAGCCAATTTCGATCGCAATGTCATTTGTCGCTCGTGAATCATATACTTGCAACGCTTTACAATAAAGGACCCTGTCGCGACACTCACACGCAAACGACATTCGAATTTAATTACGAACTCTTGATTTATGTATCTTTTAATTTGAGAAGATGATTTAGGTCCACAAATTCCAAGAACGAGACAAATTCTTAAACCCGTTCAACAATCTGTCATTGCGCTTAATAAACCTTGGATCATGCACTCATTTAGTTAACGCCAAGAATACAAATTACGCAAATCAATAACGAACTAAGTTATTATGTAACAATTGACAACTTGATTTTGCCAATAATAAAATACTTTATCCTTTCAGATCTGGCGGCGTTACGGCAACTACTAGAGAGTGAGACCGGCGGCACAACTTGTCCGAGTTGTAACATGCCCTTTGATAAGGGCAAAAAGAGAAAGCTGATTGACACGTGCGGACATGAACGGTGCTACGCTTGCATGTTTAGAAACGAAGCGTGCCCCATCTGCGCTCGGAAGAGCCAAGGAAGAAAAACCATGGAGAGGTATACTCCTTCGCCGCAACGGTCGGAGCCTGAGTGGCAATCGCCAATGCGCTTACCGAAACCACCGAAGGCAGCCAACCTCGCCCAAAGCTGCCCCACACCGCCACACACCAGGAGAAGATTCTTCCTAAGTCCTAAATCATTGCGCAGTCCATTTGGACACCGCGCTAGCCGACATTCTAATGAAAATCACGTACCATTATCAGGTAAGATTATTTTCATTTATAGTTGCATATGTCAGATAGGATAACACGGATGACCGAAATTTACCAACGCTCATCAACCAAAATTTACAAACTATTACTTTTACATGATTGTAGTTGCATCACCCATCCATTCATATTTAGATTCCGAGGATTCTACGGCAAATGGTGAGTGACAGACATAGCGCCCACGCACCACCGCCGGATGTACGTAGGTTCCGCAAAGGACCGGTTGTCTAGCTGAATATTTATTAATGGGTCGAACTTTTGCAACACTGCCCGCGCAGACAGCAAGCCGACGAATTATCTCGGCATCTGTTACATTTTCTATTTCCATTAATTACATGATTTAAATGTACCTGGATCACAGCTGCGTTCGCTATTAGTTTCAACTAAACGTTTAGTTTTAATCAGCCGTCCAACGTTTGTATCTATTAAGTGTTAATGTTAATATTGTCCTTTATGATTAGTTGTTACAATTATAACAGCAACTTGATTTTCATAAACTTATAGCATAATTATGCTATTAATTAAAATTTAAATTATGTTTTGAGACGCTATTCTTACTTTCTTGACTTCTGCGTTATTTTATGACTGCAGACCTTAGAAATTTTTCATTTCGACAGGATTACCAGAAGAAGGTCCAAGAAGCGCCGCATGGACAAGTCTAGTGTTCAATAAAATAAGATCATTGTGGTCCGCAAACTCATCCGTGCCTCAGGGACTCAATCAATTGACAGGCACGATAATTATTATGTCTGAGGAATGTCGATCAAATGATAAGCATGATTCACTTGCTATAAGACAAAACTTGACCCCGATATTTAAATGAATTCCATAGTTTATTCATCAGAGTCATTAAGTCACTTTGCTTTAAAATGGATTATTGCAAGGTTCAATTCTGTATACACAAAGTTTACTTCGATCCACATTCCTGAGCGGTACAAGTTTTGCACTCTGCCTGATTTCGACCGCTCCATATTATTTGATGCACAGCTTTTCAAAACCGGTTGATTTGGTTTGTTTTGTATTTGTTTGTGTATCACAGCTTGATATTCATATATTGTTAACAGCTTCAATTTTTAAGAGACCGTTTATAAATCTGTACGTTTGGTGAAATTTAAATAACGTTCGAACACGTAATTTGGACAAGGATTAATACTTAAAGATAATAAATTTAGATTGGTGATAAAATACTTATACGTGGGTGAATACGATACTAAGATAACGTTATTGAGATCGAGATAACGATCTATTAAGTTATTGCTTTACTTGAAAGTAGCTACTATTAAAATTTTAATTATACGTTCCACGCTAGGTAAGGTACAATTAAGATATACAACAGTTTCGTACACACACTGAACTCAATTTAAACCAATATATATACAAGTGTGTGACCTGTACTAAAACCATACCAGTAGGGTCTGCGTCGCCAGCGCATGATAAAGAGGAGCACGGTGGTATAGACACTGAACAAAATATTTTTGGTGCGAATAAAGCTTTACGATGATTTTGCTAGTTCATAGTAGAAAAAGAAATCAATTAGAATTTTAATCTTCTGTTTGGACAGCTCCTTGTTCCCTCTTGGATATCCATGCTACTAATCACAACAATAAAGTGTTTGTAAGGTATATATGCCTTGGCACCACACAATAAGCATACTTAATCTATCAATAACCCTATATGCATATTTTTCGCATTCAATACCACGCATCACTTGAAATTCATTCTGTTTAGTGTCGACTCCAACGCAATAAACAAACCATAAACAATGAAGAATAGCACAGACTAATCGGACGCGATTTTGGATTACGAATGTGTTAAAATACAGATTTTGGCTATGTTTGGAACTTATGTAAAATGCCAAAATTTTTAATTAAAAAAAAATGATAGTATCGCCATCTTAAACTTCTGTTAGGCCAATTAGATTTTTTATGTCAATTAATTTAGAAATAAACTATTATTTAGATAACAATTAAAACGACCTACCGCCATGTTTAATATTTTTCTAACTCACTATAATCATAACAATTTTTAAACTAGAATAAAATGCGAATAATAACTATAGTTTCCAACTATAAGTTCAATAATAATAGCTATTTCTAATATAATATAATATAATAATAAGTACTATTATGTTCAGTTAATTTTCTACAATACTAGTGAATAGCTTAAACTAAGGTAATATTCATTAACAGTCTATGTTCTCTAGTGTGTTGGCACTATGTTCGTGTGTCCGAGATACCGCACTTGCACTTATATTCACTACACTACTAATTTAATTAGTCAAGCCATTTTTATCCTATAAGTTACCTTTCCCAATCCGACTAAAATATGATTTTATTTGTGAAGATTTAATATATCAGGGTATTCAGGGCATTTAAAAATATATTAAACAGTCATCTTTCGAGTAAATGGTCGTTGTACCAGAAATAAAATCCAGGACCAAAGTATGCACGGTAAAGAAAATTAAATAATGATTTCACTTGTAACCTGTTCTATGTTATAAAATTAATTTAGCTATTGAAACCGTGGGATTATAATAATTTATATGCTCCAAATACAGACAAATGTTTGAAAGATGCTAAATATGATAAACGGCAACAATACGAACAAGGCTGTATTTTACATACCAATTTATTGCTATCTGCGTAAATATCGGACGAATTGTTTATAGCACAGAATACATAAACAGTAGGAAGAAATTTGAAATACTAATGATTCTAAAAAAAATATTTTTAACAATTAAATTTAGTTTTTATAAACTCTTAGATATTTCACGACAATTCATTAACTACACGATAATAAATATATGTAATATATAATAAAAATCCAACTGTTAGTTGACATTGTTCTTATGGAGGCAAAGGCTCTGGTGTTCTTGTCTCCATCTTCATTAAATCGGAGAGATGAAATCCTTTTATAAAATCACCAAAGATGCTGGAATTAGAATTTCGCATGTACTATGTTTCTTCGTTTTTTCCTAAACAGTGGAAAACGGTTTTCTTTTATACAACTTAAATATTAGTGATTTTAAATATCACGCCAGTCAAACGCGGCGTTCCAACACGATCCTTCTGTTTTAAGATAACTAGCGATAGCCCATGGCTGGTGGGCTGGCCGCTTATTCACAGATTATGTCATCTATATCGACCAAGGTGAAAGACGCCCTCACAGACATTGTCATTTTGAGTTTCGAAATGTAGACAAGCTTGAACCTACACTTTTATTTAAACCCAACGTCCGGTAATACACAAATAATATTAACAACTTTATACTAACATAAAAAGCTTACACGCCGTTCAAATAAAAACTTATGCAATCAATCAAATATAACGTATGGCTTATAATGATAGTATTTATAAAATATTAATAACTTTGAAATGCTGAGAATAAGAAAATTAGACAAGCATAGAATCACAGACGTAAGAGCTAGAACCGGTGTTACATTCTCACTAAGATAGACCAAATGAAATGAATATGGAAGGGTCATATGGTCCGGAGCCCCCATGACAAATGGAGCAAAATGTTGACGGAATAGTACCTACTCTAGAGAGTAGAGACGGAAAACGAAGAAAAGGCCGACAACACAAAACATGAGAGGTCGAACTCAAATTAACAGTAGGCTACAACTGAAGAAAAGTGGCAAACGATAGAGAACAGTGGAAAGGGTTAGTTAGAGGATGCCTTTGCCAAGAGTCACACCGAAGTCCGAGATATCATGTAGTGAAAATCACAGATCACAGAGTTTCGCAATATAAAGGCTATTTAGGCTCTCTATAGGCTCTATTTACTATTGATAAACTGCTCACCAAAGGTAAGAACAACTGGATACGAAAATTGGAGAATAAACACTATCTCTATAAAAGCCTTTATTTTTTGTCTACAATTTCTGAAAATCCAGGCTTGCAGACTAAATAATAACCGTGTGAGCTTATAGGTCAATTAATTCTATCAAAATTAACGGTTCTTTAATTGACTCATAGATGTCGTGTCAGCTCAAGCGTGTGATGTCAAAGGTCAAAACCTCTGTGAATGTACTTTTTGTGAAGACTTTTATGTCTAGTTTTCGAATAATATCATTAGTATTAAAGTAAAGAATGTTTTCTGACCTCAATTGTTATTCAAACATGTACACAAAAAGATGATAAAAGTATTTATTTAAAGAGAAAAAAAAAATTGATAAAAGTATTTATTTAAAGAGATAATTTTACAATTAAATAAAAAGTAAAAAATAGCCTTTATTCGAGTACAACGTTAGATTACATTAAGTTCATCTCGTAACGTTTAACATTAGTACTCGACCTCTGACGGCGTGAAGGCTCCTCCAAATTCTTCCACTCGTCTCACATCCTCGCCACCATTTTCTAATCCTTCCTCGCTATCCTTTTTATTCCATCTTCTCAGGTTTCTCGTCCTCTCTTTGTTCTTTTATTAAAAGATATTTATAAGAAATATGTATAGTCATAATTATAAGTTATTGTATGCTTTGATCAAATATTTTGACAGACAGAAAACAAGTTCGTTTTTAGCGAATTAAATTATTAAATTGATTAAATGTTAGTTATAAGTTAAAGTTATTTCATAGGAATTTACGCTTATAATGTAAACAAGATATGAATACTGATTACTACATTGTAGAAGTTAGAAAATTTAAACATAAAATTAAATATACATTTTATTGGAATTTTAAATATCTAATATATAAAATTCTCGTGTCGCGGTGTTTGTGGTTAAACTCCTCCGAAACGGCTCGACCGATTCTCATGAAAGTTTGTGTGCATATTGGGTATGTCTGAGAATCGGACAACATCATTTTTCATCCCCCTAAATGTTAAGGGTAGTCCACCCCTAAAATTTTTTTTTAATTTAAGATAAAAAAAAATATTCTTTACTTTTTTAATGCTGTATCATAAAAATATTCTTTATTTTTTTATGATACAGCATTAAAAAATACATACAACCCCTAATTTTCACCCCACTACGATAAACCCCTATTTTTTATTATAAATGATATACATGGCAAAACGACGTTTGCCGGATCAGCTAGTGTATATATAAATAAGTACTTTAATAAGTATTGTCATAAATAATTAAACATCTATCAAAATATTTATTTATAACAGTTAATTTGTGTGTGTTTTTTTATGTAATAGTAGGCAAACAGGCAGGAGCTTCATCTGATGTTAAGTGATACCGCCGCCCGTGGACACTTACACTGCCGGAAGGCTCGCAAGTGAGTTGCCGGCCTTTCAATGTTGAGTAATTTACGTTAAAAATACTATAATAGTCATCGTGGGCCATCACCATTTATTCTTAAAAATAAGCGATGAAAGAAACGTTTCTTATTTTACTTAAAATGGCGGAAGTCTTTGACTTCTTTTAGTTCGCTAAAAGAAGTATATATATGTGAATAGGAACATTATTCTTCATTGCCATCATTAAAAACTTTATCTCAAAATAATGCTAATAAATTTCATTATCTTAATAAAACAATATTTGAATGTAAAGTTTCCACACTTTGTAAATTACGAATAAAACAGCCTTAAAATAACACAAAGCTACAAACATATTATGTTTCAACAAAGTTACGTGCCTTAAACATTGAATTTATTGTGCATTGCAGCATTTTTATACACAGCTTTATTAAAATGTTTCAATAAAACCGTACTTTATCTGGAAATTGACAGGTGACGTTTAAAGCGATTTGACAGAAAGTTGACATTACGCGATAAGAGTTGCACGAGTTTCGATGTTTCGATAATGGACTTTCGAAATTTTTGAATTCATTATTATGATGTTAAAATTCACAAAAATGGCGACCAAATATAATATTATGGACTATTATTACTTTTGCGAGTGAATATTTCTTACGAAATATTTTTAGTATATATATTTTATGAGCCGTGTTGGCCTAGTGGCTTCAGCGTGCGTCTCTCATCCCTGAGGTCGTAGGTTCGATTCCCGGCTGTGCACCAATGGACTTTCTTTCTAATTGCGCATTTAACATTCGCTCGAACGGTGAAGGAAAACATCGTGAGGAAACCGGCTTGTCTTAGACTCAAAAAGTCGACGGTGTGCGTCAGGCACTCTTGTGCCTCCTGGATGATCACCTACTTGCCTATTAGATTTACAAATGATCATGAATAGATACAGAAATTTGAGGCCTTGACCTAAAAAGGTTGTAGCGCCACAGATTTTAGGAGCGAATGCTCTAGTTTTATAAAACACACATAGTGAATTTAGTTTTATAAATTTCCTTACACTTTTATCTGGTCTTTCAATAAACGAAATCCTGAAGATAGCAAATATAACGGAATCCTTCTAGTAATAAACTATAGAGTTTTAAAAACTTTTTTGTACATCCGGGAGTTGTGCCAGCTTAAATCTGAAATGAAATATTTATTATAATAGTAAAACTAATTGCAGCATTTTTAGATTTCAGTTCAGTTGTATAACAAAAGAACCAGTGTTGCGCAATATCTGTACCTTACTTCCCACTGACATTTGATTTAACAATTCAAACCACTGTCAGGGTCAATTGCTTTCAGTGACGTGAACTTGACAGCTGACATTTTACATTAGAAAACAAATGATGATAAAATTTTGCGCAATAAACTATTTTGGAATCGCATTCATTGTATCGGTCTCAATTGATTAAAATGTCTCAAACGGATATAAACGCAACGAATTTATTACACTATTTACTGAAAGTCCGAGTGGCTTTCAATACTTGTAGTCAGTGAGAGACTTTAGTCTGTCATAATCGCATTCCGTTGGTTACCTTGTATTAAAAAATATGTATAGAATATAATTTTTTTGCCTAATTATATCTATTACCTGAATTTGTCCAAATACATAAATGTATTAATACTATTATTAAGCCTTTAGTGCTGGCACCACTATAATTTTAATATATATAAATTACGCGTTACGTTGTTTGTCCGCTATGGACTCCTAAAATACTTAACCGATTTCCATCAAATTTGCACACCGTGTGCAGTTTGATCTAACTTAAAAGATAGGATAGCTTACATCTTAATTTATACCCGCAATATTATTTTATTGCAAATTATTTGTTTATTGGGGGATTTGAAACGATTGGGGGAGGCCTATGTCGACAGACAACCTGACCAAAGTGGTTGCTAATAAATTATTATTTTCGCTATGTAAATTATATTTAAGAACAGTAGCACTGTTGAATAAAAATAGCATGTAAGTTAAAAAGATCAGTGAATAAAGGGCTTTTATTATTATTATTATTATTTGTTTATTTTTGACAGTCACAATTCCAACAGATGGCGCTGTGAAAGTACCGACGTTTCACATAAGCTACAATTGAATGGCATAACAAGCAAAAAAGCATGGTGGTCCCCATGAGTGGTGTTCTCCTACCGTTTCCCTTGAATAGTTTACTACTATATAATATAACAAAAACCTTAGCCACAGCAACGCTTGGCCGATCTGCTAGTATATATATAAACATTTGTTTTAGTTACACTAACTTAATCTAAAACATCAGATGTGCCGGTTTTGGTGATCAGCGTATCCTGTGACACATAGGCAGCTCTTCCAGCTGCTTCCATTGTTTTCTAATGTTAGCTCTTCTTGTCCTAGTTGTACTGTACTGTGTTGTGTGTATTCAATGCCAGAATTCTTAATCTGGCTCTTGAATACATAAATATTAGTTTACAATTTTGTATGTTAAAACATTCAATATCTTATTTACGATTCATTTGATTTCTGATGTCAAAACAAGGTGCATTGACTATGCGACAGTGAATGTGGGTGTGGCATTAACATCGGGATGCACTCGTTAACAACAAAATCCCACGCACATATGAACCGGCTTTACTTGTAATCGATGTTATAGGTCTGGTTGTAATACATTACTCGTTTTTCGTAGAGACTTGATAGTAAATCTATTCAAGCAAGCAATGTAAAGATTGTCGTGTGCAATATTGCGATGTCGAAGATATGAAATGTTTTACGAAAAATTTATGATCGTTGGATCTGATTGGGTTGATAAAGTATTCCGTAAATTCTATTTTAAGATGTTATTTAACTAATATTATTTTAAAACTCAGCTTTAAAGCTTTGGCAATTTCAAAGCAATTCTAAAAGACAATTATCTTAAATTTAATGCGCTATCCGACAGAGATTGTAGTAATTTCACGAAAACAATAAACAAGTGATCTAGACTCACGATCGTTGTTATTGGACAATAGTCTATTGCTGCTATAGGTCGAATTAATTGTAAGTTCAATAAGCAATAGAACTCTTTAACTATGGTTATATAAAAGCTTATGGAATAAATACAGTGGCACATATATTTTAAGGTATTTTTGACCTCTGCCTTTAGAGGTATTTGGAAACTGTAATGGGCGAATTTCTTTGTCCTAGAGAAGAAATATTTTATCTAGGACCCCAATACTTTAAAAATCCCGGTATTATACCTATTTAATTGGTATTTTGGGTTCACGGGACCCTGCTGTATAGTGTGTATGTAAGTGCGTGATCCTATTTCACCATGCCTCCTGCTGATAGAGGCCAAAACTTTGTTTTTAATTTATTTTACTAACTATTTATTACTTAAGAAGTCATGTGGAACATTGTGTAATGCAGCTCCTTACAAACATTGTGTAAAACAAAAAACTTGGCGATTAAAAAGAGTGGCAGAGAGTTTATTGCCAGTTCTTGTCTTCTGATCTACACCCTTGATTTGAGAAATGGCAGTAAATGTAAAATTAGAAGCATTTCATTTTTTTTGTCGTTCATAAGTGTAGATACATTGTGTTACCTATATGAAATATAATTTTGATTTTGAATCTATAACCACTGAGACTAGGTGAGCCATATAATTGAGAATTAACATTTATAAAGATTTAACAAAATCGTGTGCTACTTTGAGGAACTTAAATATTTTCCCAGCAGTAAATAAAATATCAGAGTCATATTAACAATGGTGGTCTAATTGTTACCGTGTAAACGGTAATTAGGCGGCCACTAAATACAAGGGCACAATTAGCACGGCTACTAAAAAATGTTTTATAAAATAAAAATGAATAAATTACCATATAAATAACTTTAAAAATCCCAAGCTTACATATCTAATACACAGTAGTAAAAAATTAACTCGTAATCTTTTTCTAAAATAAAAGTTGTTCTTTCAAAGGTATAACTGTGGGTAAGTTATTCAAAATAAAGGAATCAATTTTAACTCTAAAACAGGCAAATTGGCACCGCTATAAAAAGCTCATTTAGTAGCCTCGCGTATCAAATGAAATCGCACAGTGGTTCCCACGCGTTTCGCAGGTGTCGTTTGACGTCAGATTGCATCCTTACATTTCCTTTTCCGAACTTTTTTTTCGATTTAATACCCCTGTGTCTGCGCTTTGGCCGCCTGTGATTCAAATTTCGAAAGAGGTTTTATGTAAATAAAAAATATATTTGTAAGTGGCCATTGATCGAATAAAATTGTCTATTTAAATTCTATGTTCTAAGCTATTTAAAACAATTCTTAAATCAAACTGTTGTTGTATGGTACACAGCTCGAAATACTAAGCTTCGTAATAAAATCTTAGTTTATATATAAACTATAAATACATATTATATTCTATATAGTCTAGCGCAAGGTTTTCGTACAAAATTAGACAAAAACGTACACTTCCCATAGCATTAATCCTGTGAAGCGAATAATTCTCATGATTATAAGATAATTCCTATACTTATTAGCTCCGCTGTAACCTTTCATACGATCACATTTCCTGTTCGCAATTATATAGAAGTACAAATCTCACGGCAATTTGAAAATCTAATGTGAGAAAGAACACTTTCTATGGTCGACCAAAAAGTTGTGTTGATTATTATTTTTAAATAATTGGTTCATGCCGGCTTCTAATAAATACTGTAATAAACACAAAAAATATCTCTACGGGTAGAAAAGAAGTATTTATTGCCATTTTTAAATATTAATTATTCATTTCTTATTAGTGTTATTGTTATATAGTATATTGGTGCTTTAGAATATAATAAAGTAACAAACATAGGAGTATCACAAGTATGATAACACAAAACAGGATAATAATAAGATTAAATAAATAAAAATAGTCTTACTTCTAGAAGCTTCTTTCAAACAACCCAAACATAATCATAGAAACATTAAACATACAACACCGAACTTAAAACTACATAATATAATTTTGATTTAGTCAAAGCAATAGTTATAGGTGCAACAGAAATAATAGATAACAACGCACACTTCTAACATAATCAATAAAGTGTTTGGAGATATTTATTTCTTAATCAAGTATCACCACAAGACACCGATCCATCAAATACACTACAATAACTTTTTAACAAATGAGCAGTGAGTGATTTTTATTGAAAGTCTAGGGACGGCACTCACAACTTGGATTGTATGTCGTACAGGTTTTAATAAATGTTCAATTAATTAAGAAAAGTTTTTACATACTCTGTATATACATATTTTACTATTATTAAATTTTTTGGTGTTTTTTGCAGTGTCGCATGTAAATTTTTACAGCATGTGTGTGTACACATTATATAGCACCACACATTTTTTCTGTAAATAATTTTTGTTAGCATGAGTGTTACGCATGTTGTTTTATTTTCGCAAATACGATACAATCATCCCTCTATTAACAGGCAATATAAAGCAAAGAACCAGTGACCTCTGTCAAAATTTGAAATGATATTTGAAAAGGGCAACAAGACTTCGCAATCTTTATCAGTTTTCGCTATAAACACGTTATACACAACAACATAAAATACGCTGTATAGATCAGAGTTTAAAATTAAAATGGTACATTGCTAAGAGGTCATGGTACATCTCTCTACTGTGAAACATTGGTTATCGTAGAACTGAAGTATCGTATTTGCAGGGTCGTTCGAAGTTAGTTTAACCAAAGTATTTTGTTTTAGATGACGAGGGAGGTCACATCAAGCAAGGATTCGAGTCTCGGCGTCAAAATGACCTCTACATGCGTCTTGGTTTACTTCTGGGTGAGAGAAGGTCCAGAAATAAATCTCGTGAAAGCTGCACGTCTCTTGCTTCGCTGGATGCGCATACGCTTGCTTCACATAATACTAGTCCGGTTTGTATTTTTATTACTTTAAAATTCAATCACTATAAATTATAACATATTATTCACACTCCATTTCGTCATCGTCGTAGAACAATGTCGGATTTGAAATAAACCAAAATCCACTTTTTAACATATTTGGACACAACAAAACTTAAATTTTAAGGCTGGATTTAAAAAAATCCATGTGTTTTAAATTTCAAATTAATCAGTCGGTAAAGTGACGGATCTGATAGAAACAGTGATTTTTATAGAAAACTGTAATTTAATGTTATTATTTTTATTTTGTTTCAAAACAAACCCTTTTGTTTGCTTGTATGCCAAATTTCATAATAACAGAATATGAATTAAAATAGTTATGAGAAAATCTAAAATGATTATATTATTATAAAATGGCTGCCCTGTAAAGTTTACTACTTGTCAGATCCGTCACTATTCTACGGCTATGACGGTTTTATTCTTCAAATATTTTTCTTTTAGAAACTTGCGGTGTATATTTTTCCCACAGACAATAAACAAATATATTTATAAAAATTGTCAAGAATTAAGCCACACTTTTAATTTCCAAATGCTCCAAACTCTAATTCACTAACATCTAATTATGTCTCGTAGGTGTCAACATTAACCGGGTCATCAGAAGTGGATGCAACAACTCCCCTAGGCAGAGACTCGCTGGGTTCCCTGGCGTCCATGTCACTGTCAGCTGCCAGCAACTGTTCCTCATCAAGTCCGGGAAGCAGGCGGCATTCTGTAACAAGTATGTTTAAAGACTTTTTTGTACCAATATGTCAGTCCGTAGCTGTTACCATAAAATTTAATAATAACAAGATTGAGGCGTCCGTCGAATGGTTCTATAAATCTAATAATTTATGGCTATATAATCTTTAGCCATAAATTCTTCTAAAAAATTTATGATACAACTAGCTTTTTTATTAAAAATCTGCACATACCCATAAAACCATTATCTTAATGGCTTATCAAATAAAAATAGTTTCGCATTAATATGGACGCGGAATAATATGATATTTTCGAAATGTGTTAGGAAATAAATTCCGTTGTTTCACAGCACTACAAAGCGGAAGAGAAGATTTGGCCCGGATGTCTTCAGGGTTCTTCAAGAATAGAAAAACGGCAGCGAGACGGTCTGCAAGAGTCAGCAGCAAAGCTTCATCTACATCATCAGATCAGAAAAAAGGTAATCATATTTTAAAATCATTACTATCGTTAAACTATCTTAAGTGATCATACAGCTATGTTTTTGTTTCGTAATTATTACAAATACAATCAATTTCTTTCTTATTTATATCAGATCAGATCCATTTCAATAGTGGAGTCGGATATTGCCAACGAGGTCAAATTTTTGTGCGATAGATGTTCGGATGTCATCGGACGTCCAGGCAGAATACAAAATACCATCCGTATCACCTCGACGTCTGTCGTTCCACAACTGAACGTTTCTTAAGGCAGCTTTTGCTGCCTTCGAAATAAGAGCGTACCAATTATTAAAACGCCGGCAACGCGCTTGCGAGCCTTCTGTCATTCTGAGTGTCCTTGGGCGGCGGTATCACATAACATTAGGTTGGCCTGCTTGCCTCCTGTAACATAAAAAAAGAAATGGATTTTGTATAGAGCTTTCTTTATTTACTATTTCTTATTACTGTGTATAACGTTTCTATTGAGGTGTCTTGCTTCAGCATATTCATTAGAGAAATCTTAAATGTTTTTCTTTTGATATTTCAGTACACCCCTTGCCGCAATTAACATTACGACCGTTGTTCTTTGAAGTCCCGTCTACAGATGGTCAAACACCGTTCACAGGTAGACATTGGCTGATGAGGGATATGGAAAAGGCACTGGAATCGGCAGCATCAGGTACGTTTAGTATTTAGAGTATATATTATATATACGTCTTATATAAAACGTTGGATGTACCTATTTATATTGTAGTGGTGTATTACTATACACATTACGTAAGAGATTGCTAGGCATATTCATCTTCCATTTTTACCTGTGTTCAGCTATTGCCTTAGAGAATTAGCAAGATAATAATTGTTAATATGGTTCACTTACAACATTGCATTCAAGATAGAAATATATTTTATTCTTTAGCGAACTTTGCGAAGTAGGTTATATTTCCTATTTAAAAACATATTTTATATTTCAGGCATAGTAATCTCTGGTAGCCCAGGCACAGGAAAGACGGCACTAATACTACAGCTAGTTGAATACTCATGCTTTGGTCGCAAGAGAAACTTCGAGTATGAAGAGTTGAGGGAACAATCAGATATAAGAGAACTGTTGCCGGAAGAAATCGCCGCTGAAATGGTTTCGCAATTAGCGTCACAAGTTGTGGCTTATCATTTCTGCCAAGTAAGTATTATAAAGATGTTTAATGATTCTTCATAGTCCACGGCCGTTATTACAAGTATACATTATACTTCTAACTGAAATCACTGCCTTGCCAATCAGAGTTGAAACAATTTGTATGACCCAAAACTTAGCTATTAAAGAGAGTGGCAGAAAGTTTCTTGCCCAGTTCTTCTTGCCTGCTCTACGCCCTTTACTTGCGAACTGATAGTAAATGTAAATTTTGACGTTCATAAGTGTACTTGTTTACCTATATGAATGAAGATATTTTGAGTTTGAGTTTAAGTGACTTAGTGGTTAAGGCACGTGGTCCCCAGGGTCCTGCTTATGCAGAAACTCAATAGTTTCCAGTGAAATAATTCGTTTTAATCTACTTGGTACTCAAAGCAGACTAGTCCAACTTCTCCGTCCGACCTAGGGTTAGTTGCCTTCAAAGATATCCTTAATGGTATGAGGCGAATTAATATAAATTATGTTTTTCAGGCTGATAACAACAGCACATGCCTCGTCGGCGAATTCGTCCACTCCTTGGCTGCTCAACTCTGCCAAGCTCCCAGACTTCAAGCCTACAGGGAATACTTGCTAAGCGAGGCGCATCTTCTCTCAAGTCTCTCATTAAAAGAGTGCATCGCAGACCCAGACCTAGCATTTGTCAGAGGAATTATTGAGCCCTTAACAATCCTCCGACGGAACGGCAGCATAGATTCCACGAACAGCATCGTTCTGGTCGACGGCCTCTGCGAAGCTGAATATCATCGACCGGACCACGGCTACACGATCGCCACTTTCCTCTCGCGACATGTCCCAGACATGCCATCTTGGCTAAAAATTGTCGCCACTATTAGGACACAGTTTTTGGAACTCACAAAACAGTTGCCATACACGAGGCTGAGCTTGGACGAATCGGATAACGTGAATAAGGATCTCTTGGAGTACTTCAACGCCAGAGTCCAGCAGGTGCCGATTATAGAGACGAACATTAAAAGCTCCACGGGAAAGACTGAAGGTGTACACAACCCGGTGTTGAAGTTCGCCCAATACGTCCTGCATTTGAGTCAAGGCTCCTTCTTGTTCCTGAAGTTGATCATGGACCTGTTAGAGCGAAGTCACATAGTCGTCAAATCGACCAACTACAAAGTGGTACCGATATCGCTGGCTCAAATCTTTTTGCTGCAATTCAATCTGCGTTTCCCCACCGTGCAATCTTTTGAAAAAGTTACGCATATACTGAGCGTTTGTCTATCAGCGTTATATCCACTGACCTTAGTGGAGATATACTATTCGGTTAACGCCTTACTGGTGGATACGTTTTTGCCCTGGGAAGAGTTCTGTCATCGATTCGAATCCCTCACAGATTTTCTCGTCAAACGCATCGACAATACGTACATGTTCTTCCATCCGTCGTTCAGGGAATGGCTCATCCGACGTGATGACAATGAAAGTCCGAAATTCCTCTGCGATTTAAGAGCCGGTCACTGTGGTATAGCTTTCAGATTAGCGAGGGTCCAGGCCCCCCCTGGATCCAGAGAAATCAATGGAGTTAGGGCATCATATTTTGAAGGCGCATATGTACAGAAATCTCGGACCAGCACAATTAGGTCTCTGTCCGAGAGATTTGCAGGCGACTTTGGTTGCATCAAGTTCGGCGAATGTTGGTGAAGCCATCGCTAATTTGAGGAATATTTATACTCCGAACGTAAAAGTGTCCAGGCTGATGCTGTTGGCTGGAGGTTCTCCTAATCAAGTGACTGAATGCCTCGGGAATGCCCCTCTGTTGTGTATGTACGCGTATCAAGGAATTATTGCAATGGTTGGGTTGTTGATAGAATTTGGTGCTGATATTGAAATGACGAATTCCCAAGGATGCTCAGCTCTTTCTTTGGCTTGTCAGAGAGGCCACACTGATGTTGCGAGAATGCTTATAGCATCAGGTATTTAAATAAATAATATAATAAAAATTGTTAGTTACTAGTTATATCTTTATATATATATATAATTGTACTGTACGTGTGTCACTGAACGCATCTTAAACGGCTGGACCGATTTGAATGAATATTTTTGGATGCGTTTTGCTCCGGATGGTTTAGATTCACAAATCAGCCCGACAGATGACGCCGCTGCAGTCGGTATTTATCTATACAGTGTTCGTGTTCTGTGCATGTGTTCGTAATTAAACTTCTAAACGGCAGATTTTGGTGAAATTTTTGGATTATTAGATATTTTTGTATGTTAGACGTGTGTGCAGGACGTCTGTCGGCTAGTTGTGATATCAATATCTGAATATTTAAATTACTAAATATCTTATAAGTTTTTCTTTTTACAATTTACTAGTGAATTGTCCTTTTAAAATGTTCTGTACATTATATTTATTTTTTCCCTATTTCCAGGTGCTTCTCTAAGCCATACGGACACAGCCGAACAGACTCCATTGGTCCATGCAGCCAAAAATGGCCACAGAGATACAGTGATATACCTTCTGGGTTGCCAGACGGGAAAAGATGACCGCAATTCAATAGATCTAGACGGTGACAACATTGAGCAAATAGTACCTGGGGCGAGACACGCACTAATAGCGGCAGCACAAAACGGACATCTCGACATCGTTGAATATCTACTTGACACGGCTGAATTGATCGTAAGTATATTATGTTAGCTATTCGAAACTTTTAAATTTATTTTTTAATACATACTATGTGATTCTATGAGAAACTATTTAATTTTACAGCCGGACGGAATATGTCCCGTAACAGGCGAGACAGCCCTCACGGCCGCCTGCTCGACCGGCAATGCCTCTATCGCTGATGCTCTGCTCATCCGAGGAGCCACGCCCTACTCCCTCAACGCAAGGCAAATGTCTCCTCTGGCCCTTGCTGCCAAAAATGGCAGAACAGCTCTGGTCCTAAGGCTATTGGACTCGGGGGCAGATGTCGCCGGGTCAGGAGGGAAGAACCCCTTAATTTTAGCAGCAGCGGAAGGCCACGCTGATGTGTTGGAGATGTTGTTGGCTCATGGTGAGTTTTAAGCTTAAATACTAATGATATCGTTCGGCTGATAACATCTTTATTATATGTTTTTACGCAAAATAATATATCGGCGATATTCCTTGTTGGGGGATTGAAGTAGACAACTTTCTGTAAAGAAATTACTGGTATAACTATATAATATATTTGCTAAGTTGATTTATTTAAGAAACATTTATAATAGTGTTTATATTGTATAAATCCTGAGTAATCACTTAATTAATAATACTATAATCGAAAATTCTCATCCACATCCTTTATTTTTAATAATATTTTAGGAGCTGATCCCGAGTCAGTGGATTCAGACGGCGTATGCGCATTGGGATGGGCTGCGTTGCGCTCGCGCATGATTTCAGTCACCGCCTTACTCGATAAAGGAGCTCATATTGGTAAGCAAAAAAAAAAATCTTAAAATTCTGATTTTATCTGTAATCCTTGAAAAATACCGTTTACCTAACTTCGACGCCGGCAGGTCCTACGCTACGTATCGCGACACGAGTTAGTAACATGCGTAATCTTAAACGATACATTGTATTAATTTTTAATTTGTCCATACATGTGTTTAAATATATGGGTGTTATTAGATAACGACACGCACCCATAACTTCAATGTTAACATTTCTGAACATCTACTAAACCTGTGTGACAAGTAGCCTGGAATATTTCTTCTTGGCGGTAGGACCACCACGATTTCCTGATTATTATGCCAGATCTTGGATAAATAATTAATAAACCAATAGCAATAATTTACTTACAAGTAATGCAGTACATAAGCCAATAAAAACCCGTTTTTTTTAGATCAAACAGACGGAAATGGGAGGACGCCTTTAGGACTGGCCTGTGGAGGTCCATCAGATTTGGTGGAAATCTTACTCGAGAGAGGAGCATCTTTGGAAAAGGTGGATCATAGCGGCTTAAGGCCATTAGACAGGGCCATTGGACAGCGAAACGTTCCCGTAAGTATTTTGACTAATGACGTTGCCGTAACTGACACATTTTTGTGTATGTTCCGTTCTGAATAAAATTTAACTAACTTAGAAAAATGAAGTTATCAATTTACAGTGTATATATATATGTGTATGTAGTTGGATTAGGAAGATATATCTAGGCGATCGTTTTTTTATTTAATTTAGACATTTATTCCCACTTATATTATATTTATTTTATTATATTCTCACTTAGACCACAGTCCAAGTTTATTCAAAATCAGGTCAGTAGTTTTTGGGATATCCACGCAGAAGGAGATAAATATTGTACCTATAAATAAACTTGACAGTGACAGTCTGTGTCTCCAAATAGCGATAGCGATTGCGATCCCAACTTAATGTGCGAATCACTCATCCGCGCTACGGATGTTGAAGGAACTAAATCGAACTTGCATACAAAACGTGATCAGTATCGTTATTTAGATTACAGGTTTGTATGCATGTAGTTGAAATCTGGCTAAATTAGCTTTATAGTCTTTATTTAATTGAGCCATGTTGGCCTTGTGGCTTCAGCGTGCGACTCTTATCCCTGAGGTCGTAGGTTCGATCCCCGGCTGTGCACCAATAGACTATTTCTATGTGCGCATGTAAACACTCGTACGGTGAAAGAAAACATCGTAAGGAAACCTCACTTGCCTTAGACCTAAAAATTTCGACGGCGTGCGTCAGGCTCAGGAGGCTGACCTTGCGTATTAGATTTACAAATGATCATGAATAATACATAAATCTGAGGCCAAGAACTAAAAAAAAAATAGATATGAAAACCCTTCACATGCCTCGCATTTAAAAGATTTTTGATTATTTTACTCAACATTTAAAAATTCCGAATGAGAACTGTGACGAATTCTGAATCTTTCAAAAACAAAAGACTGTCATTTGCAGGTGGTTAATTGCTTCTTGAGGAAAGGAGCGAAACTTGGACCTACAACGTGGGTGATGGCTTCAGGCAAACCAGAATTTATGTAAGTGCACGACCTTTGTTGTATAGATTTAAAAAAAAAAAGAGTGTGTGTACTTATGTACACGCGTTAGAAGTTATACTTCTTTGGACCAACGTAGTTGGAATCAACAGAAGCAATAATTAAAAATTATACATACCGACAATTAACCTCAAATCTATAAATGCACTCAAAACAGTTTATTCAAATCAGTTTTATCACTAATATTCAATAAATATAGATATACTAATAAATTATTATTATTAGTAAATACTATCACCGTCGTATATAAAATTGATTTAATAAAAACACCAAAATAATATTTATTTATTCACTGTTTAATTGTACTGTTACGAAACACGTGTTCTAAATATAAAAATACTAGAATATACAACTTGAACATAGTTATTATCGATTTTTATGCCACCTGGAACTAACTTTACGATGTAGAATTTAGGTGTCGGTGTGCGCGCGCATCGTAAAAATTCACTCTGATCATTCTTCTCCATCGCGCCAAAAGAAGTATAACTTCAATAAGTTATGTACCTTCAAGACATGGGACAGACACGCATATTATTTCATGCTTTGCACCACGGAATATGCCAAATATATTAATTATAATTTTGAACAATTACTACACAGTTGAGTTACCTTTAATTGTCCATACTTATCTTTTCCATGTTTTTTACCAACACATTTTAGGATTAATTTCTTAGTTTAATTGAATGAATTTTTAATTGTTTAAGTTTTAATTGCGACTATATTTTCCAGGCTAATCCTCCTAAACAAACTCCTGGAAGACGGGAACCTTCTATACCGTAAGAATCGACCTTCGGAGGCGGCTCATCGCTACCAATACGCTCTAAAGAAGATAAATCCTTTGATCAGCGATGAAGGCCAGACAACGCCGGTTCAGCCAGTTCCGCATGAACACGTGGCCGCGTTTGTCCAGCTCAAGACTAATTTGCTACTTAATTTGTCGAGATGCAAGAGGAAACTTAATGTGAGTATTGTTCATGTATTTTCTTTTTGTTTGTCACTGTTTGAAGTGAAACTTCTTTAGCATGAGGGTAAAAAAATTAAAAAACGTCACGAAGATGTGCAGCGTTTTTGACGAAGAAAAGGGAGAGAGCTATTGAGACCGATTGAGAGAGAGTGAGAAGGGTGAATTACCTTATAGAAAATTTCGTAAAGAAAATTTATGAAATATTAGTATTTTATATTTTCTAAAAATAATTTATTGAAATCTCAAATGACGAATCGTAAATAAAAATGCCTTGTTTTTATTATCGAAGAAATAAATTCATTATTTTTATGAATTTTCGACACTTTCAATATTTTAATGACAATCAAATTCATTAAATTCCTAACATATCTTTCTTTTTCCCTCCCTCTGTCTCGGAAATCTAAAGTTTTAGATTTGTATAAATATGTACAAGACTTAAAAATTAGTTTGCCAAAGAAGTTTTACTTCTGACATATGTACTTTGTACGCACGCACTTTTTTTCTCATGTAGCGTGAAATTTTATGTTACTAAAGCCTTCGCTTCAGTAGTTCATACGTTAAGTAGAAAAATAATTATAATATTTGTGAAGAAGTAAAACTAAAACCTATCATAGATTGATTTAGAGTATAAAGAAATGTCTATTGCGAAGCGACTAATTAAAGAAAATTTATTAGACTCAAAGACAATTTTGATTCGATAAAATAAAAACAAATGTCTGAAAAGAAACATTTCTTTCCAGGAACCATCAGAAGCGTTAGATCTAGCGGCGCGCGCGTCCTTACTCCGTCCGAACGCGTTCGAGTGCGCGTACGCAATGTCACGTGCGATACTTGCTCTTAATAAACCCGCGGACGCATTACCCCACGCCCGTCGTGCCTTATTACTAGCTCCGCCCACGGATTTGTCTGCTGCTCGGACCCTCAAAGCCCTCCAACAGGAGATACTAACCAGAATGAACACTCCACATAGCCTGGATACGCGATCTATGAGGAATTATGACAGCATTAGTTTGAATATGCCTTAAGTCTTTTTATATTAGAGTGAGGTTTGTATTTAAATCTTTCTACACGGTGGATTTTAACTTGGAGTTCTAAAAATGAATTTACTTAAAAATAACAGCATTTTTTAAAAATAGCCTAGTATCTCTAGGCAAAAATGTTAAATGTAAAGGTTTTTATGAAGAATATTTTAGTAAAATTTTATCTCCAGTATTATGTACGTTCTTAGTGGTGTTAAAAATTCCACCCAATAATGTATTAGTGTATCAATTTTAGTTAAAATTTAAATCCACGATCGATATTTACGAAACGAATGTACTTTAAAATATATAAATTGCGTTGGTTAGGTATTTTAGTATTTTAAGTTAAATAGATATTAATTTATCCTATTGAATATATGAACTGTAAAGTGACTTAAAAAAGTGCCTTACACTTAACACAAATATTTGATAAATTAAAAGATATTAACTTATATATATAAATTAAACTATAGGCCAATTATGTGTATCAAATAAGTGTGAAAGTGTGTGAAATTTTATCTCTAAACTTTAACAAAATTTTATGGCCATTTTTGTCATACAAGAAACAAATAATCTATATATTTGCCACATTGTATATAACTTTACCGAGTGCCGTTTGAATTTTATTGATTGCTTAGAATATATGTGATCAAATAAATGTAAATAAGTGTTTTTCCTTTTCGTATTCCGTGTACAGTTTAGTTATAATTTCTCGAATATTTTGCTTGCCATTTGTTATTCAGTGCTTATATGAAATAGCAGTTTCTATATTGTTATTATTTAAATTTATTTTGAGTTAAACTCACGCGCCCGTTGTCTTGCTTGTATATAAGATAACACCAAACGTGGGGCCGCTTTTTAAATTGTAATCTTTTAATCACATAGATTTGGTTGACAATTTTTTTTAAATCAGCCCTTAAGGCAACGAAGTTTGGTGTTACCTGTACCTAATTTATTTTACCTTGTTTTAGGGAAATAAGGCATAATATCGTATTTTAATATGTAAAGTTTTTATAATATATACGTCTTTTAGCAAAGAAATTATACCACAATTATAAAATTTCGATTAAAACATTTCGATGCATTTACTAAATTTTATTCATATTGGATGGACAAGACTGAATTCTTGATACAATGCAAATGTAGAATAAACATTAGTACAATAGTTTCTGTCGACAGAAATATACATAAACTGCTTTTAAATTTGTTTTTATTTAATTGACCCTCCCTATACTAATTCCATCCATAGGTTGTTATGAATCAGTTGGCAAAGATTCAAAGTCTAGAGTTAGTTGTTATTTGGAAGAACTTGCCTTGCCTGGTTACTATGCAATCTGTAAATTCTTACCCTCGTCTTAAAACATAATGAGTCCATAATCTCTTCATCACAGTGTTAAAAAAAGTGATAGAAAAAGTACTAAGGCTTTTATGAATAAAAGGTTACAAGGGCATAAGGACTTGAAGAATATGAAAACAAGCAAGAAGTCAACTTTACAGTAAAGTTTTAGTGAACTAAATCTCCTATGTTTATTTGACAGATGGGATTTCTGACAATTCAACTAACACTGCCATCTGTCAAATGGCAGTTGGATTTTGACAGTTTGGTTGTCATTTAGTCTCTGGTTGTTGTATTATTATGTTGCGTATTACGAGATAATAATAAACTTAATGGTAGGGAAAATTTCGTGTGTTTAATAGGAAGAAACCTAAAAACTTAATAATTATTTCCCAGAAACTATACATAATATGGGTACATAACTTATAAAAATAATGCGTTTTAATCGTTCACCATTTACTTTAGAATGACTTATTAACCTTAATACAAAAATCTAAATATTACGATTTGAATGGGAAGCATTCATACGTTGGTATACGGGTAGAACCACTAGTGTCTTTGGCTTCGGTTTGACATCTATTGTTTTGACAGGAGGCGCATCGGATCCTAAAATGCCAAAGTCAAACCTTTTTTTACTATGTGTTTCGGAATTCGAATGCGATATCTTTAATTTTTCTTCAGTCGTGTTGTACAAGACTTTAAATAATTGATCAAGTTTATCCCGAGATACATTAGGTGTGTTTTTTATTTCATTAAATATTTTTGGCATTTCGTATTCTGTTTCCGCTTTGATTCTGGACACGTCTGAAAAGAAAAAAATATTTTTTCTATGGTTAACAATAGACAACTTTTCTTTTTATGTTTAAGACAGGTAAATTTTCTGCACGCAGATACACAAAAATAAAGATCTTAGGGCTAGTGAAGCCTGTGGTTGTTTTTTTAGCTCCGTTCGATTTGTGATCCTCAGAAACGTTAAAGTATTAAAAACTCCACTTACCGTAACCATAATATCTAGAATATTAAGGAGTTTTTTAGGTGAACTACAATATTCTTGATACATGGGTGTGACCAGGAACATGCTGAAAAACACCTCGTAGAAGGGCGATGAGCTGGATTTGTGTAACCAGTTCTTCATTTTAAAGTAATCGATGAATCCGTATTGATTTAATACTCCCATTTTCTTTAAAACGCAGGTTGTTGGTGGCGTTAATTCCTTACACTGAAAGGCAATAGTAGTTATAACTGCGAAATATATAAAACAGTATAATTATTCCTCCCAATGCAGACGCTTTATTGAAGTCAAACTTCTTTGGCGTTGGAAAAATTTACCGTCACATTTTTCGGTTACGCGCCATCTTTTGCTTGTCCCTACCACGGTTGATCCGAAGAGACTCGAAGCCTACACATTTGTTTTATATAACAGGGGGCAACCGGCAGTCTCATCTGATGTAGTGATACCGCCGCCCATGGACATTCAAAGGCTCGCCAGTGCGTTACCGGCCTTTTAAGAATTGGTATGCTCTTGGAGGAACCTAAATCGAATTGGTTGTAGAACAACAGACATCGAGGTCATACGGGTGGAATTTCACATTCTGTCTGGACATCCGATGATGAAGCAGCTAATATTAATCCAAACAACTCCTCTGAACACTTCAGGGTAAATGTAGTAGAAGATGCAGAGAGAAATCAGCCGTTTCTTTAAAGATTATTGTATAGGAAGGGAACAGCTTACTACGCCTAACAAAGATGGATGATTTCGTTCTAGTACCGAATCAACAAAATATTTACGATAAATTCACTGTACGAGCAAATGTCACTGCGCCCAGACAAATGCGGATCCAGGTTTTGCGTCAGTGTCGATCACACTAAGTTTGTTTTTTATGAATAAAACTGTACACACAAGTTTGTATTCAATCTAGTGACCGACGTAGGCAACGTGTCCCTAGATCAAGCACGTGTGTTAATATTAGTAAAATGTAAAAAAGTAATAGAGATGTGTATTTGTCATATATGTATTCTAACTTAGTCAATGTTTTATTAAAAACGGTTCAGTAGGTTTTGAGATGTGGGTCCACGCATTTCTGGAGGTGCAGATATGTAGGTACCTAAGAATTAATAAATTATTTAGTTTTCTTCTCTGTGACAGACGGTTTTTTACCAAATGTATATAACTAGTAGGAAACTTACATCAAATCTACTCTCCCATCGTGACATTTTTCTCTCATAATGAGGTAGATATTGCATCGTGGACAGTGACGTCACACCGCATTCTGACAACACGTCATTTGACACCAAGTTGGGAATAGGACAAAATTGACGACGTAGTTTCTGTAATAAATATTTTTCAGTTGCATTTAATCAAGATTTTATTTCACCGTCAATTTAATAATTACCATTGAGTTATACTGTCGATGTGAACCGTAACCAACTGCTTACAATTTAACGAAATTTTGTTCGGTAGATTATAATTTATCGAAACGCCGTAAACTTGTGATATGACATGCAACGGAACGCACCTCGCGCGTTATTTGGTTGAGCGTCATGTGTCCCGCGCCGCCATATTTGTTTTTTTAATTCCACACATAGTAAAATAAGCACAATTCCAAGTGAAACAACCTAATCTGTGCATAAAAATAATAACTAAAACATAGTTTTAAGAAAACAGAACTTAACAAATTTTTTTAACTCTTAATTATAGCAACCTATTGACATATTTACGATGGTTCAAGTAAGCTGTATCGGCACTCTGCAACTTATAATAGCTACAGCGATTCCGACTTTTTGTATGCTGTTGAAATAGTTCTCTCAACTGCGTAGTGCTAATGTCATAACTTCGAGATTGTATAGTATAAAAACTCAACAGTCATGCAGTACTGTCAGAATTAAAAAGTATTGAATTTATAAGACAAACTTACTGGCGAATATTTTCCAGAACTTATCTGGCAGATAACATCTTTGTTGATGGTGTCTTTATCTCTACAAAAGGGTAATAAAATATAGTTGTAATAATTAAATAATATGGGAATAAACTGTTCGTTTTAACTCTTTTTTAAACTGAAACACTTACTTGCACGGATGGTCTTTATTGACATTTGGACAATTCTGAAATAAAAAACATATATAAGACACTTCTATTATGATTTTGTTTTATTATCCAAAACTTATAAACTGTATAAAGTGGTTTAAAATGGTAAAATTTTATCACAATAGTTTAATATTAAAAACACATTAATAACAAATAACGAGGTGCATCGCCTTTTGCCAACGACACGTTGGTGTTAAAAAATCCCAAAAAATATTTTATCTGTTAGAAAAATAGCCACAATTTACAAGCCACAATTTCCCGCCTTGTTATTTGCCCTTTATAAAAAGATTGGCGGGTAACGTTGCTGCCCCTAATCTCCCTTAAATAAATTAAGTAAATTTTTGTAGATCCATATTCAGTAAATTGTATTAATAATATTTATTTGTAATAGAAAACTTGATATTAAGCCAGAAAGGAGCCACCTTTGGCGGGGGGCCCCCTCTGTCAAAGTACGAACCCGCTGGACATACGCGTTATATAAAACTGTTTCTCGACCCTTCCGCGCCATTCGGTATGACGCTTGTTAGTGTAGCTCCACAAAATGACTGGATGCAGTGTATTGGCTGGAAAAAGGTCTGACACATCGAGTGTACAAAAAGACAACGTGACATTTCATCTGTAAGTATTTTCTTAAGTAATATTATCGTAATAATATTATAAAATACGTGAAAATCAAATTAATATTAATTGCCGAGTAATGCCGAGTCAATGTTGCCAGTTTATTGCAAAGTTCCGCACTACGACGTTTTTTGTGGCTGAATTTTTTTATTTGCATAATTTTTTACTAACAGATGGTACTTACATAGCGATCATATTGTTCAATGACTTAAGTAAATATGCTTTACTATTGATTAGTTGTCCTGATCGTGGATTCGCTCCCCCCACAAGTACTTTGAAGGTTTGGACCCCGACACTTCAAAATTTTCTTATTATATTAATGTCTTTAATTAATGAAGAAAGGACGTGAAAAATTATAAAAATTTATCACATGAATTTATCCTAATAATGGTTATTTTCCTAAGTTGGTAGTTAGCCACACCAAAGGCGGTTTAACGCCTTTTAGAGAGGCCACACCAAACGGCCGGTTTACGTCATTTTATTGGGGGGGGACAAAACTTTTTTTTATCGATAAATTATTGAACGAATGAACAATATAATGTAATTATGGATAATTTTTTTAGTTTGAAATATAACAGTTTTATTTTTTATTATAGATTTCCAAAAGACCCTATCCGTCGACAACAATGGATAAAAGCTTGTGAAAATCACAGAACATGGCTACCCAAACGTACAAGTAAAGTTTGCTCCGATTTTTTTCATTTTGATACTTCATGTTTCTTGTTGCTGGCTAACAACAAAAAGAAAAATTAAAGGAATCAGCAACACCTACTTTGAAATTACCAAATGTAAGTTATATCTAGTTTCGATGCAAACATGTAGGGATCTGTAATAACGTATTAGGTATTCCATATAGTTTTGAACATCCACTGGAGTAAACTAAAAAACGATTAAGTTTGCTTTTCCAACACCAATGTATACCTATTCTTTACTTCAATGTATACCTTAAAATATAACGGTTTTCAAGAAAATTTATTCTGTCAACATACCGAAGCAAATAGATCTTTATGATTGTTATTTTAAACTAACCTTCTACTTGGGAATTTGGGGGGATTTTCCTGGGCGGAGGTTTTGGATTCGTCTGGCAACTACCAATTTTTTGACTATCCCTTGGGGGGGACCTTACAGCATTTCCGGGATAAATTATAGTCTGTGTTAGTAGTGCTTGTTCCCTACACCCCCAAATTTCATCGAAATGGGTCAAGCCCCGCGTTAAGCGTGAAAAAGAAACAAACACAAATAACAATTCATACTTTTCACATTTATAATACTATAGTCCGCTTTACATTTGTGTAAGTGATCGCCAAAAAGGCATTATACCCTTGTCTCCTCTCCCAAACTTAAACACAATAACAAAATTAATTTGCAGCTCAATAACGCGTTCGTCAGTATAAGTATGACAGTACAAGATTGAAACACTGATTTAGTATTACAAACTTGTTGTCGCGTTAACAAAAGTATGGCGCGATTTGTTTTTATATTGAAGCGCAACTAATTTTGTAACCGTGTTTAAGATTGATAGAGAGTTATTGGAGCGGGACGCATCGCCTGCTTCAGACTGAGTATTAAACACCAGGTAAAAACCGGTTCAAACACAGAAACAGGGGTTCAAACTAAGCACAGGACGCGCGCGCTTCAAGTCGACTGCAATTCTACACTTATCCGTGTGCAGTCACATAAAGATAAAAAGCTCAAGCTTACCGCCTCACGGACTGTAGTAATGTTATTTTATATGTTATTTTGTAGGCTGACTTCAAAAAAAACCAACCGATTGCCAACCAGCGAAAAAATGAGATTTGAGACTGAAACCTCGGGCTAGTTCACCCACCCCACTCATCAACTTTTCGCTCTGAGTTATCAACAAATCATGTTTCACCTACTACAAGTACTAATGTTTCTTGTTTTATAAATTGGACCAAGAAACACCAAGAAAACGTAAATATAAAAGAAGAATAATAGTTCAAAAAAACAAACAAATTAAAAGACTTCAGTCGAAAACACGATATTTAAAAAAGAAAGTTGCTAGTTTAAAAGAAATACTTGATGAGTTAACCAAAAATGAATAAATTTTATCGACATTCCTTATCGACATGGTGGTAGCTCTAATTATCTCGGGATTGTTACGTATGTGTGCTGTACATGTAACGTGTAAAGATACGATTTCTTTAAATGTGTGCGTTGCGGTTACTCTTGTGTAAGCAAATTAGGTTTGTGTGCGTGTGTACAAACATTGTGCAATTTGTTTCTGTAGTAAAATTTTGTCTGTGTGAGTGCCTCGTCCCCCGCCGATGTTTTGGCAGAAAAATTAATTAGCATCGTTCGAGTGATGGCGTCTCCTTTCTGGCTTAATACTCAAAGAGATATAAGTAGCAATTCATTTACCTCAGAGAGCACATCCATAACGCATAACAGCATCTCATTGATTCGACATTCAGCGTCATATATTCTGTGGATTTTGGTAAAGCACTGTGTTGTCACCCTTGCTTTAGCTTTCTCCCACGATGGGTAATTTAACGTCATACTATCCAAAAGTTTGGAAAAAGCAAGCAAATCTATTTCACCAGAATCCAATATAATATTTAATTTCTTGAATATACATGTTTCTTTTTCGCACTGTAATAGCAAAAGCAGTGTTAGCCTAGCGGTTAAGAGTTCCACATACTAACTGGGGTCATATAAGGTCTCTTTTTATATTTGTATACTTAATATCGTGAGCAAATCGGTATCCATCAGACCCATGGTTGATGAACATCGTTGATTTTCCTGGCATTTTACAACTCGCTGACCAAAATTCTTCTTCTAATTACCAAGTTTTTTACCTCATACAATACTTAATAACATTATGAATAGAATATTTAGTTACTTTAAATAGATGTGCCACCCCCACCACCTTTCGTTGCAGAGATGGATAGGACCACACTCTTCGAAGGACTCCCCAAGGCAATATAAAACGTTTGGAGCCCCACGGGTTGGGCCCCAAGAATAAAACGTGTTCACGGCCTAAAGAATCCTGGTTCGGTGGTGGACGTTAAGTTGTGGCTGAAGAACGAGCCATTAGGTTGTCGTGGGCCAAGGATAAGTGCTTGACTCACGACAAATTGCGGTGGGTAAGTATTGTGAACTATATAAAAACCATATAAAAAAAACACTTACAGATAAAGGAACAACTTTTACGTCACTTCGTTTAAGCTCTCCTTTTTCTGTGGTCGTTGGTGGAAGGTGAGAGCTGATGTCGATGAATCCAATTCTATTTGTTTCATTCCAAGACATTTCAAGGTGGCACTCGTTACGCCATGAATCTTTTATAAAATCGTTGACATCACAGCACTCTAAAGGATCCCATTCCTGTCAAAACCCATTTCAATTATTTCTCTGTACATTTGAATACATATGGATCACTAGTAAATTAAGATCTGCTAACTTATGGCCTGCTAAGATTTTTGAAGTAAAACTTCTTTAGTTCTTACTTCGTCACGAAGATGTGCAGCGTTTATGTCGGAGAAAAGGGAGAGAGAATTGAGACCGATTGAGAGAGAATGAGAAGGGCGAATTACCTTATAGAAATTCTATTTTTAAAATTAAAATTTCGTAAAGAGAATTTATGAAATATTAGTAAGTATTTTATATTTTATGCAAAATAATTTATTGAAATCTCAAATGACGAATTGTACATTAAAATGCCCCGTGTTTTTATTATCGAAAAATAAATTTAAAAAAAATATATAATTTGTATTAATTTTCGAGAGGTACTTTTAATAATTTAATGATAATTAAATTCATTAAATTCCTAACATATTTTCCTTTTCCACTCCCTCTAAGTCTCGGAAATCTAAAGTTTTAGATTTGTATAAATATGAAAAAGACTTAAAAATTAGTTTGCCAAAGAAGTTTCACTTCTGACATGTGTACTTTGTACACACGCACTTTTTAGATTGCAGAGCCATTAAAAAGGGAATCTATCCAGATTGTATTCTCCAATAGATAGAATTTTGGACACTTCATAAAAACTCAATTGTTTATAGTGCAAATGAGTAATCAATCAGGATAATAATTAATTAAACTAGACTAACTAAACTTGTTATAATTAAAGGTAAAAATAGTAATATAATTAAAATATGCAAAAGCTTAGAGTCCCTGTTATTTGGTAGCGATAAAAACTCCGCTTGCGTGAAAATATAAAACAAAAGACTATTTGATTATAGAAAACTGTTATGAACACACGTGCGGGATCTTTTGACCAATCACAATCAAACGTAATGCGCCATCATTTCGTTTTCCGTTGTATCATGTACTCACCTCCTCTGAATCCTGTTGAGATTTTTGTAAAGCCTGCAACAAACATTGAGCAATTAGTCTGAGATTCTATTTAATACTTAGTATTTATTAGTCAAATTTTTCTCTTTATTATTTAGACCACTTTTTTACTTACATCGACTTCCAACATTGTTGTAGTAGGAATTTGAACCTGAACAAGAAAGACAACGATTGATAATCAAGATAAAATGTATATTATTTACAATCAGATCCTGTGCCTGACACACGCCGTCGACTTTTTGGGTCTAAGGCAAGCGGGATTCCTCACGATGTTTTCCTTAACCGTTTGAGCGTATGTAGCACTTAGAAAGAAAGTCCATTGGTGCACCCCAGTGATCGAACCTACGACCTCAGGGATGTGAGTCGCTAGGCCAACACTACTCTTTTTATATTATTGTAAAAATGGCCTCCGTAATAAACAATTTTATTGAAGGGATCTGATTTCGATTTCCAGCAATACAAAAAGTGATATTTTTCATTCTTACCTTGTGAGGAAAATTTATTTGAAATTGCTGATCAGTTTGCTTGTCATGAAGGTGGTAGGCCATAAACGTCTTGAAACCACAACCTTCGAGATTGTTCTTAATGAGAATATCCGGTAAGTCACAGCATTTTATATTGAAATACTGAAAATGAAATAACATGTGTAAACAAAATTAATCGCAAAATATGTTGCTAAGCGCAAAACTTTTCAGTATTTTTGTTTTTATTGCACTCTAAGGAAGGTTTTTATAGATCAAAAATTGCACAGGAAGAGCCAGTTTTTTTTTGTTAAAGTATTTAGTATAGGAAAATGTTCTATATGTTGGTATGTAGCTACTTAAAAGGTAGGCTAGGTAAAACAAAATATTAAGGCGAAACGAAGTTCGCGGTGGGCAGCTTGTGTTTAAATAAAACTTCATTAATGTATGTAAATACGTATTTATGAGATTTTTTGCCAAAAAATCGCGTTTATACAGTAATAAATAGGTATTAATTTTACTATACAGAGAATGTTGGCATGTGTAAGATGTGATTTACAAAAAAAACTTACATTTCGAAGGAAATACGACGGCCGACGCTCTGTAGATATGCTACTCTCAAGGTTGTTGTAGCGACTGAAAAATTTAAGTTAATAACTAAAGTTTATTAAACCGTAACTTTGTAAAGAATACACTTTATGCAAAACTTGAGTAGCAGGGCGTAAACGGAAGCAAGAATAGCTCAAATAGATTTCGTGTGGTGAAACTTTACAAATTGTATGGAGGAATTATTCGTTCAGGCTGTCATTCATTATGATATACTTAACTAAACTATTAATTTAAATTTGTTTTAATTTTCTTTTTATTATTACTTTGTAGGTTAAGAAAATAGTAAATACAAATTATACGTATAATGTATTTTTTCAAATATGTATGTACTAAACTAAGTGAAGTTCATTGTAGCCTAACTCTGGAGGGTGAGAATATAAAACGAAAGACCACAATATCATTATTCATTGCGCGTATCATGCATATATATCTAGTCCATTTAGATATATATATATATATATATATATATTGACTGTTGTTCACGAATTATAATCAAACGTCACAAACAAATGTATTGACCCCTCCCCCCCTCCAGATCACAGCAAATCGCCTCATTAAAAAAAATTTGAACGTAATTTTACGCACTTAAATAGCTTCCTTAATACAAAAATAATATTAGTATTATTATATCCTAATTTGCCTTTGTAAATATTTGCTAAATTGCATTGTGCTTCTGTTATGTTGATATAACTTCGACATTGGTTTCTTGTTAAGAAAACAAAAGTATCACGTTTGTGAATAAATTGGCCTCATCTCACGCACCCTTTTTATACCTTTCAATTTAACGGTTTAAAAAAATACATACCTTTGGGAAAACATATAGTTATTAGGTATAAGCGAGGAAACTGGAGCACATCTGTCGTCTTTACTACTCTTATTTGCGGGACAGTTCTGAAAATATATTATTGTCAGACTTCCCTGGACACCACGTTAATTCTATACGGTACAGATAAAGATTCCATGGTAAATCTATGTAAGGAAATAAAAGTAGAGTAGCATTTTATTCAGATATAAATATCATTATTTAAAAAGAAAATATAAAAAATACACTATTTAATAACATCCTCTGTGTTTTTTTTTAAAGTCGATTAAAAATCCAAATCCTGGTACTTTACGCAACAATAACAGTCGAAAACTAAATTTGTATGAAAATTTGTCGACACGAACTGTCATTTTCATAAAAATTTAGTTTTCGACTTTCTACTTACAGTACTGTTAAAGAATCTTGACTAAACCCCCAGGAATGTTGTTTTGTTTTATGTGGGATTTATAAATAATTCCGATTTATTGCACAAACATTTCATCTTCAACGATTCTATTATTTGCCTTTAGTTCTTACCTTAACCAAATGATCTACAACGCAGTGCATCAACGCCTGACCCGGGCATGTATTAGTATATGTCTTCGTTATATTCCCATAACAAGAGTCTACGGCAGTTTCAGCAACCTCCCGCCATTCGGATGGAAACAGCCTATTTATCGTTGCCGAATATATATCTTTTGGTGGTAATTCGTCTGTGAGATTCAACTTTTCGTTTATACAACTCCAATTATGACACTGAAATGTATGCATTAAGTTTTAAATAATAAGTTATTAGCTCATAGAACATAAGTTATAGAGGTCCTGATCTCACGATACTCCTGTCGTGACGGACATGCATCCCATGGGGTTATGAATTATGAAATGGAAAAAACACTTTTCTTACATACTACATCTAGCTATAATATCTACTCTCTACTAGCTACTCAATGCAAATATTTAGAGATATTTTTTTGTTTGTAATGAATAAACTAAAAATCTACTAAACCGATTTTGGCAACAAAAACTATCAGTGAGTGACAAAATATAACATCACGCCACGACCAAATAAACGCGGGTGAAACCACAGAACACAGTTAGATAATAATAATAAACACTCTCACTATCACAATCCTTAACACACGTTTACCAATAAACAAATAAATTAAGACAAAAATAGATAATAATATCAGATGTTAAGTGGTCTTACTGCTAAAATCAGTTTTAATAAATGGTAGTTTTAAATAGAATGCCGTGGCCGAATCAGTCGGTTTTCGGTTTTTTTACAAAGTGTTTGTTGGTGCTTTTGTCAAATCTATTAACATAGGTCCGTTTAGATGACTGTTAGGTAACTACGTATTTTCATTAAATCGATTAATCAAACACCCTTGACCCGATACTTACCATCCGTGAATTTCCTAGATAAGACCTTCCGAAACCAGCCCGCGCGTGAACCTGTAAAAAAGAACTTATTTCTATGTCCAAGCATTAAGATTTACTATTCTAAGGTAAAATTTTGTTATTCCATTTAACTTTAAAACATAAAATAGGCGTCTTAAGTTGGAGAGGTCCTTTTTTAGGGGTTTTCCTACAATGTTAGAACTACAAAAATTCAGTTACAAGCCAAAACTTATATCTATAGAATGTATTTTAGGTATACATTGCGTTTATGACACACGGGAGACATACTTAGTGCTAAGTCTCGACTCAAAGTGTGAGGAATTATGTAAGTTCACTTTAGTCTTTGTACATCAGAAATAGCACTAACAGCAAATATACTAAGCAATTAACATCAATTAAAAAACGATTAATAATACGTACATTAAAAATTGCAAAGATAGCGCGTGAAGGTACCTACGCAAACAAATCAAACCTTTAGTAAAATATACAAAATGTTAAAATTGTATACTGCGCATTTTGTTTTGTATTATTTTGATAAAGCAGCTTTATTTTTGTGGTGAAAACATAATTCATTTTTGGCTATGAAATCATCTAACAATAAACAGAAATTAAAAAAGTTTTATTACTAATAAAAAATAACTTAGGATTCTAGTTGAGTATAAATTATTTTTGACTTACCGTATGTATTGTTAGTAACACCCAAAGAAACAACATATTTGATTGACATCGAAGTAACGACTGACTTGAGGGGTCAAGTAATTGATAAGATTCCTTATAGGTCTGGATAAACTGACACCAGTTTGTACTTTGTATATTATTAAATTATAATGTATTACGTTGCATTTCACTATATTCATTAAGATTTTAATGCGTTATTTCTCAATATATTTGTTGAAGAAAGTTCTTACAACTTCCATTGTAAATTTAAATATTTCTTTAAAAAAATATTAAGCTTTAATTAGCTAGATTTCTTAATAATCCCAACAGATGGCGCTAAGATATAGCTATATTAAAAATAAGGCTAAAATATAGCCATCAAATATCTTATAGTAGGGGAGCCCACGATGCTAAATGGGGATTTACTCGAGTGTCAGAGACCTATTGGGTTGCGAAGCTTAGATAATAATAAGAGAAAGATGTTACATAATGTTACACCTTTTCATCGGTGGGGGGAACAGCTATAGACTTTCAAAAATGTAAAAAACAACAAACTGTGCCAACAAAACATACTCGAGCGCGTCAGATATTGATAGCATCCATGTCCTACGTATTTTTACTAATGTACGTATGTTAATCTGATTGTTTGCATGGTGGGGGTGGTCGTACGTAAGGGTTGAAAATGAAAAAAAAATAATCTAGGGCGTCAGATTTTCTAAGTGAACCTAAAAAAAGCTCTCATCTAATAATCTGACGATTTGGATGTGACGCAAACTCGCGGTCATTAAAATAATGTGCAAAAAATATTCGCCTTTTTGAAATACTCTGCGCGTCAGATTAAGGTTCATAAATATATGGTTCATCTTTATGTCCTAGACGTGATGTCCCATAATCTGACGATTATCTGGAGGGATTCGCCTAATCTGATAATTAAAAAAAAAATTAAATCATTGAACATAATTGACTGATATTGCTCTGGAAAAAGCAAAAAGTGTATGTTGCTCAAGTAGAACTTGTATTTATTATATAATAATTTTAAAAAAATGCTTAAAAAGAATAAAAAGTAAAAATTAACCGGAAGAACCTGTTTACTTCGACAATATTTTAAAATATTTATACATTTTTCTAATGTTTATACTGTAAATTTTATTGATTTTTGCAAAGTAGTTTCACTACAAAATACACACTTTATGTTAATATTACTCATAGTTAATATTTTTAAACTAATATAGGCATCATGCAGCCGCGCGTATTAAACTTTATCGACGAATTTTTCTGACTTCGGCTTGTGGAAATCGTCAGATTACGTTTTTTTATTTTGAAGGAAATATCAGCCACGCTCGAGAATGTCGAGATGACGTTTTTTTTACAACTTTGCAATTGTCAGATTAGTGAAATATACAGTATATACTTCTTAGCATGTAATTAACTCACCCTATCTTAATCTGACGCGCTCGAGAAAGTCTGATGATTTACTCAGATCTAAAGGGCGCCAAAGAGGCTTATTTGGTGGCTACCTCCTACATATTAGTTTAATCCCCCGCTTAACAAAATCCCAAAAGCCCACTTGGGCTCCCCTACTATTATTAGTACACAATAGATACTAAAATCCAATAACTATATTTGTAATTAACTCATTGTTTGTTTCATAGACACAGCCATAATAAAATTGAAAAATAAAACAACCAAATTAAGCCTAACATATTTTATTGACAAACCCAGTTTATAAACACAATCAGCTACTGAGATAGTAAGCAATACAAATCGGCAAAACGCAGCGGATTCGACGGCAACAAAACCCATTTTATATAATAATTACTTACACACTTAGATATCATTAATAATGCTTGCATATCTAGTTATTAATTAATAATAAATTTCAAAAGTGAATAAAAACTTTGAAGTTACAACTGATAACAGAAATAATAAATAACTCAATTACATTTAAATATAAACATTGAAGCCTATTTCGAAATGTTTGACAAAATTAATTACAATTCATAGAAAACTTTAAGTAAAAACTAACTCAACTGTTCGGTAAATATACCTAACAGTGCAAGCTGCAAGTGCAACAAAATGCAAGCTTTACAGCTTATTACTAATACAATAGAATTAGTTTGTACTTCAAGTACATTGCATGCTAAGTTTGTTGCCGTCAATTTATAACAATGATTTAAATCACATATGACTTGCACATTTCTTCTTGAGGACAATATACCAAAGTCCTTTCCTAAATTGTTCCTGGAATAGGAAATAAATATTTATGATCCGGTGAGCAGTTTTGGCCTATTGGCTGGAGCGTGTGCCTCTTAACACTTAACTAAGGTGCATACATTTCAACCCCTGCTGTGCTATGAACTTCTTTTTATGTGTATTTAAAACTCGAACCATAGTGAAGAGAAACATTGTGGGGAACTGGCAAGCTTTAGACCCAAAAATGGACTGCATGCGTCAGGCAGAAAGTCTGACCACCTACTGGTCTATTAAGCAAGGAAAATTGACCACAATACAGATGAAGGTGAAGGCTATAAGGTTGTAGCGCCACTGGTTTTATTATTAAAATTTACAAATAAAATGTTTGCACAATGAAGAACATTAACATCAACTGCTATAAACTCTGCCAAATTTGATACTCATAAAACTAAGAAAGCCTTTATCTTAACCAGATATGTATGGCCCCTCATACCATAACAATTAAACTAGTAAGAAAATAGGACTTATGCTTCATTTGTTTTATAAGTTAATGTCAAATAATGTGGCAAATTTTTTACTGGAATCAAGTAAAAAAAAATGTTATTCTATCATTAAGTATGATAAAATAATTTTTAACATTTTGTCTGTGGTTAACCTACCTACCCTGTGGTTAACTCACTTACCTAGAATTATCTAAGCATGTAGTACAAAATCACAGGAAGGCTCCAAAGCCAAATGCTCTCTTGATACTATCAAAGTAATAGCGTTTCCAGTTTTCTCGGGTCTGTTCTACTTCTGACGCCGGAACCAGGTCCTGTTTTAGTGTAACTAGGGTATTGTCATCCTGGAAAATATATGAGTAAAAATGTATCTTTAAAATATCAACACAAGTACTAGAAAACACTTGTAAAGTATTCCAAATTTAGAACGGCCAAATCAAAAGACTGTTTAATATCTTCATGTGTTTATGCTGTTATGAAAAAAACAAGGTCCGTGAAATGTAACAAATTTTAGGACAGTCATGTTTTCCCTGATCCCACAAGTCAGACCAAAAATATTTTTTTTTTTTTGGAAAGTTGGGTTCTGGAAAAGTAATCAAGTAATTTCTAGTACGTAATTTCTCACTTTAATCTTTAGGTTATAAGGCACATTGAAAATCCTAAGTCTGAGAGACACGTAGACACAAGATAGACCAATATTTATTTTTTTTATATGTCAAATGGTTACTGGATTTTGACACCCCAGAAAGAAGATAATTACAGTTTTTTTTTTAATCTTACCTTCTCCTCAATATTAAATGTAACCTCAGAGAAATGTTCTTTTGGCCATTGTTTATATCTCCAATATTGCACAATTTTCTTTCCGGGCACCAACTCCCTAAATTCACCAGATATATTTCCACCAAATAGGGTAAATTTACCACCTTTCTCTGCCTCCAACTTAACATGTCCCTGTGTGAAAGCTGTAACCATCTCTATTCTAGTCAGGGCATCGTAAAACTCTTGGGCACGACATTGGAATGTCTCTGTTATCTCAATATTCTTTGTATCAAGTTTACAGCCAACTTGTTTTGGAGCTGAGACTATTGGTTCCATGTTAACTTTTTTGTTAAATCCACTAGTAATAGTAGACACATTATCTGGTTTTACTTGAGTTTCACCTTTTTTTGGGAGAATTAGGCCTTTTGAGAACTCTTCCTTAAGGCTTCGGATGTACTCCGTCAGTTGATTGCGTATAATATCTTTCCCGATGCTATGCATAAATGCTTTCACCCGCTGGGCTTCATCACCACTACTTTTTATTGTCACAGTCATCTGAAATTTGTGACAAGGTAACTTTTTTTATATAATTAAGACAATTCATTAGATTTTGTATTTATTAACATAACATTGTTCAGTCATAACTACTTTCCGTAACTATTATAATTGATAGGTTAAGATCAGTACTAGAATTTACAGTCTTTTCAATTTACAATCATTTATCTTTTTAAGACACACTTGTACATTGAAATTGTCTAATTTATATTTTAAACAAATAAAAAAAGAAAATTCAAAGTAAAGACTAAAGAACTTGGTGAACATTACTGAGGTTATTCTACCTCTTCTATCCGATAAGAATATATTATGAGTAAAGTACAAAATACAAAACTTAACAGCAAACAACCCATTTCACAGTAAACTTATAAAAGCAACAGTTTTGTATAGGAAAGAGTTAAGTCAGTTTGATTTTTAACCTTAATATTAAAGCTTTATGTGTATGATAGATTAATGATTACTCACATCAACTTCACTGACATCATTTTCTTCAGATAAATTCGGTATATGGATTTCACCTTTAATCTTATCTGCAGAACCAGCCAACAAACCTTCCCACTTCAATTTGATGTCCCACTCATAAAAAAATATTAACTTTCCTTTCCTGTTGTTGGCGGAAGCTTCACCATCTAATTTTTCTACCTCTGTTATGTTACAATCTATACCATTCTGAGCAATTTTTAAGTTATTTAATAACTCTTTTAGCCGGTCCTTGGACCATGGACCTGCATTCTTTTCTGTCCAATGCCAATTGTTCACGTTAGTGGCGTCAGGCCGCTCCTCCACGATCCAGCGAGGATCTCCTTCTCCCCATTTAGCCATTTTACAATGCGGTGCAGTGCCAGAAGCAAGTATATAATACAACACGAGGTCTCAATGATACGCGATTTTAATGTGGTCTTCGCACAAACTAAACTTTTCTCTAATAATTTATTGTAATTGGTGTGACACAACAATGCATACACAATAATAACCGTTGCTATGTCATACAAGAAACGATAATGATTCCTTTGAAGGAAAAAGTAAAATGCAGATTTACAAATTACAATCTTCGAGAAAAATCGTATGGTATACCATGTAAGTCGAATTTTACCCCCACCCTGGCGGCTGGCGTTATGTCAGATTGACAAGTAAGTGTTGCCAAATTAATCATACGAAATTTGTAATTTGCCTGTACTACAATTAACAAAACCAAGAACTTTACGTAAGTTGGGTTTAAAATTTAACAAGTATGTATATAATAAATACAAAATATTTTTATCGATCAATGTGTAGCACCCGAAGTAGTACTACAATACTCATTGAAGCTTGACAAATTTAAAAACCAAATATATCTGATATATTAATAATTTAATATTTATTATTTGTTTGTTTTGTTTTTTGTTTGACTTCTTTATTTGCTCTAATAATATAGTGATCCTTAGACTCTATGTTTCATTCGATCTTTATATTCCCTATAATTTGTGTAACTTTAAAATTTGGCAACAAATCAGAGCTTTCGGTAAGTTTCTAGAAAATGTCAAAAAGGGATATCGTGATCTAGTTCCATTACACGCATTCATTTAGTACTATTAACTTACACGCTTAATCGATGATTTAACATAAATAACTTATATTAAAAAATTATTATATCTTTATGATAAATATTATTGTTAAATTATTACGCTATTGTTACATTCAAAAGTAACTAATGCACTCTATATTTCAATAAAATATAACGCCTGCAAAAGTTTAATGCCATATTTCATTATGCCAAAACTTATTGTTACAAGGTAGGCGTTTTTTTAATATTGTAAATTATAGCAAAATCTATTCCTAGAATATTTTGTTAATTGTTAGATATATAGTAAAACACTTAAAATTTGTAAAGTATCGGCTTGAACTATTAAAATGTCAATGAATAAGAAGAAAATATACTGGGTATCTATATATAACATTGGATAACCTACTTTTACAGTGGAACAGTTTTCTAGACATATACTAATCGACTAGAATTTAGATTTAATTATAAATATTGTTATTTACAAAACTTAACAAAATAATATATAATAATTATAAATAAGTACTTGAGGTTTTTGAAAATTGTTACATAGGTATTTATTACATAGGTAGGCAAATAAAAAAAAGTTATCTCCGAGTGAGTGAGATAACGTATAGTATTGACGTTATAATTGAACCAGTCTTCCTTCCATTCCGGTTCAAGTCGGCAGCACGGAACGTGCGCACTGGCAAATAAAATAAAACAAAATGTTCCCAATACGCCGCATTGGTAGCAAGGTGTGATAAGTGTTTTTATTGATATACTTCAAAATATTTGCCTTGCTGGCTGGCGCAAAGTTATTTTTTATCCACCTGTTGCAGATTCTAGAGCAATGGCGGGCTCCTATTGTCGTAGCCGGAAAATCGCAGAAGTACAGTTCAGAGGCACCACGTCCTCTAACATTGTTGACAGAGGATGAACTCGCTATGAAGGATACTAGTAAGTTATTTTATATAGATAATTATCTTTTTTGCAAAAAATATCAAAATTTGCGAATCCAATTTTCAAATGGTAGTTCTTCTTATATTGAGCCTATAGAAACATTCTCGAGATACACTTGACGTTTTAAGCATCAGCGTTGCCAGAAGTTTACTTTTGTAACCTCAGAGGTTTATATCGCGATGTTAAAATAATAATAATTCAATATTCCTTGTTATCACAAGATATAATGTAGTATTGCTCTTTTCGTTAGTGGTGCCATCCTGTGTTGCAACTCCCCCTTTTTATAATTACCCCATACCGATAATCAAATGATTTTCAACGCGCAAGTTGTTTTACGTATTTACTTAAACAAAATAAGGTCTAAGGCCAAGACTAACGTTTGAAGCGCCATTTCGAGAAGACACTATCTGACATATGTTCACAAACAAGCAAGTATGTTGATGATGCAAGTATCTATATAGACAATAGAGCAATAAGCTCATTATTGTTTACTTTTTCCAGCAGTTATTCTATTACCTACTCTGCTCACGTTTCACAAGAGTCGGTTAATCTCTATGGTTATATCAATACAGCTGCTTCGTCAAATCGTCAATACAGTCGGGCTTCTTGAATAAAAACAATACATTATACGGTCGTAACTGGTTGATTCGAGCGAGCCTTCATTTAGAGTCAAGGACGTTCATAATTTTTGTTCGTTGGCGCGATTATAACATTGATAATAGGACTATTAGCAGTATAGATATTTACTATTTAGTAGTAAGCCGTAGTGAAAAACAATTTTGAATATATATATACGTATTAAGTAATGAAACTATTTTTGTAGAGTTTCCACAATAGATCTGATTGATTCTCCACGCTGGTGTAACTCACTATGGTATAAACTTTTAAGTAAAGAGGTGGCCAGATGAGATTCCTTTTTTTTTGGTAACGTTTACTAAACCATTACGACAATTTAACGCATATTTAGCGTACTGCGTAACTACCAAACGACTGCACCAAATTTAATATTTTTTTTGTATGTTCCTTGACTATCGCATACGAACGTCACAAGACTGTGAGAGATTTTAAATTTAATGACAAAATATTCAATAGATCATTTAGTGAGAAATCTTAAATAGTTTAATTATTTAGAAAATTTTCAAAAAAGTTAGGTGTCCGCACGATAACTTCGAAAATGTAACCGAAGGAGTGAAAAATACCAACAAAAATACCGTTGCAGAAACTGTTGACAATATAGCATAGTAATGTACCACAATTTTATAGCAGACATCAACATCTATATATAAGTATATCTATATAAGTATGTCCATATGTCTATTACATATTAAATAAAACAAATATCTAGCTTTGCGAAGCCGGGACTGAATTCTATGAAGCCGTGAAGATGTACTCTACCACCGAAGTGTTGTTCTACCACAGCTAGTATTAAATAATCAAGCGAGACTATCTTATGTAAATAACGTCGGCCTTATTTTCACGATAATATTTCATGTAACAAAATACCCATTTCAGTTAGTACAAGGTCATACAATCACTAATTATATAGGATTTAATTGAGAGTATAGAAGTTATTAACATTTGGGCGAACTATAGAGCAATATACCTACCTACCAACCTTTTAATAGACACAATTAATTATCATGTTTAGTAAATGATGTAGAATCTTTAAAAAAATATTTTATTTATGCTCTGAAACATTACTTGTGTTAAAACGAAAACAATATATATACCTTGTATAAGGTATATATGTAAGAAATATGATACATGCGTGTGAAAATGACATGAGAACGAATCAGGCGCAGCGCTATCCTCGCAATTGAGTAGCCCGGTACTATATTGAGTAGGGGACTGTTTAGAAGTCGCATGGTTTCAAGAAGTCATAAGGTCGATATTTGATATCTAATATATAAAATTCTCGTGTCACAGTTTTCGTTGCCATACTCCTCCGAAACGGCTTGACCGATTCTCATGAAATTTTGTGTGCTTATTGTGTATGTCTGAGATGGCGATTTAAACTCCTTAAATATCTGTCCACATCATATCAATTTTCTATCAAAAAAATTCCAACTTTAAATTTGTGTCATCACCCCGTTACTTCTCCTTTTCTCATATAGTTATTATTATTGAAATATTACCTGGGGGGAAAAATTTTTATTTTTTTTAAAAAAAAAAAAAAAAAAAAAAAATTTTTTAAGGAAAAAATATCTCAATCGTATATCACTTTTAAAGTAAGGTAAGGTATGTCTTAAAACTATACAATACTTACAAAATATGAATTAAGCTTACGTAAAAAACATACATTTGGCAAACGTTGATTAACATTTATTATTACACTCACAGTTTAAAAACAATACAGTAAATATATCTTTTCTTTATTATTTGTTAGCATTATGTTTAAGTTAAATTATAAAAAGATTACAATATTTTGGAGGTTTGAATTCGCAAAATCATTATATATGTCGTACGAAATCTTGTTCATTAGCTCTGACTCTATGCACAAGAGAGCTAAAGCGTTGAGCTTTTCTTGACTTAAAGTCGATGTAGGTAGTTCTTTACTCTCTTCAAGAAGAGAGGTTCTTTCACCTGAACAATTTGCCGCTGGTGTATAAAGAGTGCTATATCCAAGTTTGGATAAATGTCTAGATTCTGTTCTTGCAGGAATGAAGACAGGCTTATTAATGATGATTTTTTAACGTTGAATAAAAAATTGCAGCTGAGTATTTTTATCTTATTATAATTAATTCATTGATTGGCATTTATGGGAAAGGATAGCTTTGCGAAAAAGTTATCAAATCTACTGATGTAAACATTTAATTTAAATATGTGTAGGAGATGAGCGCTTAACCGCTCATTTGGATTTTCCAAACTTTTTCATACTGCAAATAAAATAATTAACTGATAAAATGTATCAATTTTCTAATGAGCAAATTATCTCACTTCATATTTTGTGGTGGGAATTTTTTTATAAACTCGTTCAACTATCAGTTATTTAATCAAATAACTGATAGTTGAACGACGATATGATCTCTATAAGATATTGAACTAGTTTTTTATTTAATAAAAATTAGTCAATTTTAGTCAGTATTTTTATTAGACCTCGATATTATATCGATTGAATTGGGTAAGCAGATCTCATAATTATTAGGAGAAAAAAATTATAGAGTTATAGTGAAGAATGTATAAAAATTACTAAATTTCGATTATAATATCGAATCGCGATATTCTATAAGTTCATAATCATTAATTTATAATTAGTAAAGTTTGAAGGGGGAAATTGTTTATGAAGAGATGTTGAAATATTTATTAATTAGCACTGTATATGAGAATATTTCGATTTTTGTTAAATATTTTAATTTCTCTCCAATTTTCGAAATTCGTATTATGTGTGTGTATAATAATTTTTTTAAAATTTGTAAACCGAAATAAAATTTGGCGCCCCCTAAAATTTGCCCCCCCTGGGCGCCCCCCTCCCCGCCCGCTTGTAAATCCGCCACTGGTCTGAGAATCGGACAACATCTATTTTTCATCCCCCTAAATGTTAAGGGTAGTCCACCCGTAAATTATTTTTTTAAATTTTTAGATAAATTACTTATTTTTTATTTTTTTATGATACAGCATAAAAAAATACATACAACCCCTAACTTTCACCCCTCTACGATCAACCCCTATTTTTTATTATAAATGATATACATGGCAAAATGACGTTTGCCGGATCAGCTAGTAATATATAATCAATCTAATAAAATAATAAATTCAAAATAAAACTAAATAATCGTAGATTATTAAGAATGCAAGGTCACAAAAACGAAAGGTCAACATGGAATGGAGTTACTGAAAATGTCCACCGATTCATAAGAGACTATATATCCTTCACTATTTTATTCAAAAAGCAGTTTATAATGTTTTATGTGTGAAATACAAAAAAAAACTCGGGTAATAGGATCCGCCAATAGGTCATATTTCCTCTTGTTTTAATTGTTCTTTCAACTGGGTACAGTTTTCTTTATTTATTTACCCGGGAATCGGCAGACCAGGCACTCCGAGGAGATCAAAGGTAAAATAATATGTCAACTCGCACACACCCACTTTAAGCTCAAGGTCAATTTAGAGATTAATATTCAATTAGACAGGCTTGGCTTTGCTGATTCCGTTCAATGGACCAATTAATATAAAATTAAAACAAAGATTTTGTGCTTGAAGTCATTCTAATTTTATTAAAAAAGTTCTGTGAAATATACTATCTATTTATCCATTAACTTATATTATACAAAGAAAAGCATTTAGAAATTCATTGAAATACGTATCCAAATAAACAAAGCATAAATGATATATCCGTCGAAAATAAATACGAAAAGGGTCATATATTAAACAATGTAATATTTCAATGAAAAAAAATATAAATACGTAAGCAGTTACGTAACACAATATTGACCGTTCTGAAGATTAAATAGAAATAATCAAAATAATAATCATTTCAAAATGACGACTCAATAAAAACCAGATAATACAATCCGTTAATTTAGTCTGATAAAGCCTATCTATTATGTCATGTGTAAGCGAATTCTGTAGTATGTTATATTTTTAACTGACTGAAAAAATGAGGTTATCAGTTCGAATTAGATAATATTTGACCGTGACGATCTCTGTCGATTTCCACATGTGTTAAATTCCATATGTATCTTCCATAAATTTCCCGAAAAATATAACTTCTATCACTCATCCCTCAGCTCATTAAATTTAATGGGCCATTAGTTAACGACTGATTTAAATAGCATTAAGCTTGCGTTCGGATCTACGGGAGTTATTCAAATCTTGACTACCTACTAGAGTCTATCCTATATCTGTACATCCTTGAACATACATAAATGATCGCAGTGATGTTTTCCCCCCAAATTTAGGGGAAATCATAAAATGCACGATTCTATACAATTTACATTAAGCGTCGAAACCAACAGACAAATTAAAACAAATTAAACTTCAAGCGTGGCTATAACTGAAATATCAAAAATCTATAATCCTCCAGACTTATATTACTACTTAAATGTATTTTTGACGCATAATTGTGATCCTTCCTTCACAAATTACGTAACAACAAAAATAAGAAGGGTCTCAACCGTTATTGTAAAGGAGTTGGGATCACGTAGATCGCAGCAGGTAGCACTCACTACCGAGACCACACAATGACTCTAACATTCTTTAAGATTATGGTTATATTTTGTGTAGAATATCTCATTGATACCTATAAACAAGGAAGGAACGGAATATGAAGTTTTAGCACCATCCACATATTAGGTTCTTAAAAGGTTTCCATATGACTTTAATGGGACTTAAAAGTGCGCCTTTTTTATTTGAGGATACATTTAAGTTTAAATTTTTGACCATACATAGCAGACTCAGACTCTTCATAAAGCGAAGGCAAAAAAGTTTAAATCTCTAAAAAAATAAATTAATTTAAAATAAATTTCAAAAGTATTTTGGAATAAATACAAACAGGCAAAAAACCCAATATTTTCAGAAAAACGGTGTTATTAAAATAGTATGTAAATATTATATCATATTTTCATAATAATTATTTCGGAGGCCAAGTAATCTATCTGGAAATATTGTTATCTGAAAGATCCAGTTACACAAAAAGTTTGATACTTTTCTTTATTTAAAGTTATTATTTTATCTCATATTTCATGTGAAATATTCTAGAATTACTTCGGGTATTTTATATAGATAAATAAACATTTCAACGCTTGTTTGTTTTAAGTAAAATATTACGCAACACATCTTTTATCTATTCAAAACAAGGTCTTATCACATTATCAATTTTCGGTTACTAACAGTCATTAATTATGAATTCGTTTTGGCATTTTTAAGTTTTTACTCAATGACCCTTTTATTTTATTTTTTTTCAAAAAGGTTTTGGCAAAAACTTATCATATTTTACAGCCAAGGAATCTCTACAATGTAACTATTACCAGCTCAATAAATAAATAAATCATGGCGCTACAACCTTTTTTTAGATCTGGGTCTCAGATTTCTGTATCTGTTTCATGATCATTTATCAATCTAATAGACAAATAGGTAATCAGCCTCCTGTGCCTGACACACGCCATCAACTTTATGCCGGCAAGCCGGTTTCCTCAAGTTATTTTCCTTCACCTTTCGAGCGAATCTTAAATGCGCATATATATTTAAACTTCATAGATGCACCGCCGGAGATCGAACCTACGACCTCAGGGATGAGAGTCGCACGCTGAAGCCAACACTGCTCACACACAAGTTCCATCCACCTTAGTCAAAATATATGGCTATTGTGATAATAATAGTGTTACGTACAACTCAAGGAGTTAAAGTATAAATATAATATCTTGTCAATAATATAATGTCTGGTAGTGATGTTTATCCGTAATAGGCGATTTTTAACGGTGCGAGGCTCGACTCTACTTTCAGAACGAGCGTTCGAATCCCGGCAGTGCCATGCATCTATCGTACGCAAAATACTTGCTTATACAGAACTAGCACGTACCAAAAAACGAAGCAAAGTACAGCCAGAAAGTTGATCACCTACTGGCAAATTTTTTACCCGATACAGAAATTTTAAGCCAAAACCAAGGGTTGTACCAACAGTGTTTCTTTAAATTAAAAGACCGCTGTAAAAATACTTTTCTTTCGTCACGACTATATAATTTAATTATGCACTTTCATTTGGTTATAAAATAGAGTTTATTTATTACCATAGATTGTGGCAGTACAGAAGAAAATTAAAAACGGTATCTTTGTTTGTTGAATTTATTTTTTAAATGTAGACAGATTAGATGTATGTTATTACAAATAAACGATTCTGAAGGTGATATGAAGGTTCTACGATAGAGGAAAAGTGAGAGACTCTAGCTTGGTTTTCTTCCTTTAACCTAAGGGTTCTAGGTCTCCTGGGGAACAATTTTGGTTTTAAACGCCAATTAATATACTAGTGTATACCTACTTATACGGTTTTGAAATTTAAAACCTGTTGTTATTTCTGTGTATTTTATCTGTAAATAATATAAGTAAAAATTTTGTACGCAGTTCGGAAGCTTGCAACAGATCAAATCGCACCTTTGGTCAAGAAAATGGAAGAGGAGCACAAAATCGATGAGGGAATTAGGCAAATGCTGTTTGATAATGGTGTAAGTAATCCATCGTACTTTAATGACACTTATTATATATTTTCTATAGTACCAAGAAATTTGATAATGCCATGCTTGCAAGAGCATCTGGAAATATATAGGAAAAATTAATACCTAAGAATATTTTTTAGCAAAAATTGAGATTTATTGCACTTTTAAAATAATTGTATAATGGTATATTTAATCTATCTTAAAATATACTATCGTGGTCAGCGAGAGACAGCTAAAGTACTCGCAACGTCGAGTGATATCAATATGTAATATATCTGCGTTTAGGTTCAAATGAATATCTGGGATATCACCTAATATCAAATGTATATCAGAGTACAATCGATTATTTGTACTCTAAGCTTTAACGTTAATTTCACTCAATTTTATAATGATTTCGGTTTGCTACCTTTATCTGCTGTTACCTGATGTTGCTTATTTCGACTATGTGTTTGCGTGTTGTTCCCACGAGAATGTAAGTGCGTGCTCCTATTTCACAATGCCTCCTACTGATAGAGGACAAGTCTTTTTTTTTTTTTTTCATTTATTTTATTATAATTAATTACTTGACATGTCATGTGGAACATGGTGTAGTGGTTGTAGCTCCTTACAAACGTTGTGTAAATGGCGAAAAGAGTGGCGGAGAGTTTATTGCCAGTTCTTCTCTTCCGTTCTACGCCCTTGATTTGAGAACTGGCAGTAAATGTAAAATTAGAAGCATGAATATGTATTTCTTTACTGACAAGTCATAAGTGTACATTATGTTACCTATGTGATTAAATGATTTTTTACTTTACTTTACTTTTTATCATAGGCTGTACGTGTAACGTCAGGGCATGATTTTATATTTTTCATATATATGAATATTTCTTTTCAAGTGTGGGACTCGGTTAATAGTCGATATACTAGATATATCAAAATTCACTATTCGTATGTGTTGCTAAAATATGTATTTTTAGAAACAACATCTAGAGTTTATTATTTTACTTGAAAACAATAACTTTTATAATCCTTATATATTCTAACAAAAAAAATCTTCGAATTAAAATTTAAACGACAGTCCAAAACTAGCGTCTTTCTAAGAAACTAATCTAAGAAATATAATTATTTCTTTACATATTTAAAAAATGAACTTTACGAGCACACCATCCGATCTGTTTAGACTTAGGAGTAATTTATTTTCAAACATTATTTTATGTAAAGATTCTTTACCAGTGCACAGATTAAACAAAGAGATTTTTTTTGCATTTGAAGTTATATGTAATAATAATATAGTATTAATAGCCTTTATTGCTGTTAATACTTATACTAGTACATAAAAATGCGAAGTACTAATAATTAACATTAAAAATAAACACTAGTAATCGGCAAGCCGGTTAATTTCTGCTTTACAGCTTGTCCCTGTCCTTTAGTCCTTGGACATAGGCCTCCTCTAAGGGCTTCCACTCTTCTCGGTGTCTAGCTTTAGCCACATAGGGCCAGCTGCTCTTCCTAATTAAGTTATATCTAATATAACGTAAATGTATAAACATATTTTTAGCTCATGGGTATAGAAACACCAGAAGAATATAGCGGTTCAGGGTGTGGTTTCCTCACAATGATGTTGGTGGTGGAAGAGCTCTCTCGAGTGGATCCATCTGTTGCAGCCTACGTGGACATACATAACACGCTTGTCAATTCTCTCTTCATGAAGTTAGGTACCGAAGAACAGAAGAAGAAATACTTAACAAAGTTGTGTACGGAATATGTAAGTGTCTTTGAACTAATTAGCTATAATTATTGTGTGGGACATCATATAACTTGTTTTAGACAAAGGCATTTGAAAAAAAGTAAACACAATTAACCAAAAATGCTTCTCACAATTTTTTTTGGCTTCGAAAAATGTAAAAAAATGGCTTCTTAAAGTATTTGTTTTTTGTTGTATTAACACAGAGAACTGGCACTCTATTTAAAGGTATCATTAATGTTTAAATTTCTCCAAGACTTTATGGCGTAAGTAATTACCCTATAAACATGGAAAAATATATATACTAGTGGACCCCACAGACGTTGTCCTGCATGATATTTAAAGCGATTAGGATATTAAGCAAAGTATGAAAGTACCGACTGCAGTGCCATCTGCCGGGCTGATTTGTGAATCTAAACCATTCCCAGATCCCCTTGAACACACACAAAAAATTTCATCAAAATCGGTCCAGTCGTTTGAGAGAAGTTCAGTCACATACACACGCACACAAGAAATATATATATATTAAGATATGGTGGATTGTGTGTATTGGTATGCAAAAGCATTATACAATTATTTAAGAATACAAATAATATATTCTAATTCTTTTTAGGCCGGAAGTTTCTGCCTCACAGAGCCAACATCAGGCTCTGATGCGTTTTCGCTGAAGACCGTCGCCAAGAAAGAGGGCAACCACTTCATCATCAACGGCTCCAAGATGTGGATCTCAAACTCAGATGTCGCCGGCGTATTTCTGGTTATGGCCAATGCTGATCCATCAAAAGTAAGAATCTAGTTTTATGCTCTCTTAATTCTAATTCGCTATTTTTCTCAATATTAATTTTCTTCAAACAAGTAGTATTTTCATAGTATATATATACCTACTACTAGCTGACCCGGCAAAAGTTGTTTTGCCATGTATATTATTTCTAGGAAACATTTTTTTAGTTCAATAGAAATAACTATCTACTATAATAAAAAATAGCGGTTGATCGTAGAGGGGTGAAAAATAGGGGTTGTATGTATTTTTGTATGCTGTATCATAAAAAAAACAAAATAATAATCTAAAAAATAAAAAATTTGGAGTTTGCAAGATAGATAGTAGCCGATTCTCAGACTTACTGGATATGCATAAAAATTTCATAAGAATCGGTCGAGCCGTTTCGGAGGAGTATGGGAACGTACATTGTGACAGGAGAATTTTATATATTAGATTAGCCTCAATTAATTGAAGAATGTCAATGTTTGCTTTTATGATAGGTTTTATATAATAAATATATAATTCGGTCGTGATGTTATATAGCTTTCTCGATAAATATTGGACAAGTCAACACAAAAATAATAATTTTGATATTAGGACGTTCAACAAAACAAATATACATACTCAATTGTGTTGATCGATGCATTTTCCTTCAGTCTTTATTTTGTAACATATATATATGTTAACGTAAAATTGTAAATACCGTTAGATTGTAATCTATCTCGCGAGATTATAAACTGTCGAAAGATTGTGAACTCAACGTACTGCTTACAATTTAACGTATTATTATTCGGTAGAGATTATAATCTATCGAAGTGAAACCGTCAAATTGTAAAACGGTACGCACCTCGCGCGCTGATTGGTCGGCTTTATAGTAGACCGTTATATGTCCATAGAGTTAGGAATGAAACAAGTGTATCGGTCAAATAAAATAAATGCACTTCAAAAATTAGTATTTATTACTTAGTAGTAATCAATAATTCTGACAGCACATGATGAAAAAAAAATATATCAAAATAAAAAAATCAGAAACGTTACAATATTTTCTCTTCAAACACAAATTAAAATTGAAAAATTAATGAAATTTTCTTTTAGAAAAAAACGATCACAAAATAAAATCAAAATTTAAAAGAAAAACAAATCGAAAACATATGAACGTTTTTGAAAACAACAAAATTTTCTATTATATAAAAAAATAAGAAAGTAAATTGCACCAATAAAAATGTTCAATTATTGTTGCACGTCCACGAGTTGTGGCACCTGAAGTTACAAAGAACATTAGCTTTATTAATTACACTTGTTCGAAACGCACTTATTTTTTTTACTATTTTCATTATTCCCGCTGTAATAGTTTGTAACTCTATGGTAAATTCTTCCTGATTAACAATACCTAATATTTCTGAGTTTTGTTGATCGACAGGCTCAATATCCGACATTGTAAATACGAGATCACAAAGGTTCACGCGAATAGAAAATATTAAAACACGGAAAATGTATGTAATTTAGACTATGTTTGGAGACCAACACTAACTTAATTATCATTCAAACTGCACTTCTTTGGTCAATCACAGATTAATTTTACTTCCACAACAATTTCATATAACTTTTCACGTTCACTTTCAACATCCTAAAGCTGTGAGTTACTTTCAACACGACAATTCACATTTACCAAAACACCGTTTGTTTACATTCGACAACAACCGAATTAACAAACAAATATGGTGGCGCGTGGCATATTCCGTTCAACCAATCAGCGCGCAAGGTGCGTACCGTTTCACAATTTGACGAATTCACTTCGAAAGATTATAATCTACCGAATAATAATACGTTAAATTGTAAGCAGTACGTTGAGTTCACAATCTTTCGACAGTTTACAATCTCGCGAGATAGATTACAATCTAACGGTGTTTACAATTTTACGTTGACATATATATTATATCTCTCTCTTTTTATAAAGTCATATTGTTTTTTTTTACTACTAGGTAGCTGACATTTTTACTATAGTTTCCTATGCTTTGATTGGACAGTATCCCTAATTGTTCTTTAGGCAGAAATCACGACAGATTTTTAAAACTGAAATGAAATTATCATTCATTGTATAAAAATAAATTACGCTTGTCTTCAATATTTGAACTACGCACATATTATTCCCGTGATGATTAATTTTCCAGCGTTTATTTACCAGCAATTATTTACCCATCATCATCAACATTAGTATATTTTGTTAACGATGTTAGGAATTTTAACAATTTGTAAAAGTTTCCAAAGCTTATCTGTATTGGTATCATTACAAAATTTTCCCATCGCTTCTTAATATAATCAATAACTTAGCAAGCTTACTATTGGTTATTGAATTTAAAACATAATTGCTATTTAATTAAAAGAGGAAATAATAGAAGTTGCATAATCTCAGGGTTTAATAAAGAGAAAAGATTTGTATGGTTGACCCGAATAATCGATCTAGTTAAAACATTATTGAAGTTATATGTACTTCTTTTGGCGCGTTAAGGAAAAATGATTAGAGTAAATTTTTACGATGCGCGCGCACACCGTCACAAAAAACCAACACCCTGAAGTTAGCATAATAAACATTTTAAAATAAAAAATGTCAATTTCTTTAATTATGTAGAAATATTATTTGTGATATTTAAATAAACTTTATTTAACTAGATAATGCGTTATAATAAAACTTTAAACGTATTAAATACCTTTTTTCTATTGTCAGTGTCGTTTTTTCTACAAACGTAGAATAAGGCGACAGATGAAATGTTTAAAACGATTTTTATCTTGTTACGCCAAAGAAGTATAACTTCTAACGCGTGTAGGTACACACACATGTTTTTTATAACATCCTAAATATTGTATCATTAGAATGCTACATCATCAACATAGGCATTATTACCAAATTATAAACATGAACAAATATTCCATGGCCTCTTGTTAAAATACATGTAATTATTGTTATACAAAATATTTTATTTAAAACATATATATATATATACTTGATATCAATTCTTCATTGTAATTTTGTTTATGACATGTGCGTTATGATTACCAAGTCAATTCCACAATGAGCTGCAATCAAAAACATGTTTACGATCTATTTCAATAATAAAACATTGAATAATCTTAATGCCAAAGTTGCCGTTTGTTTATTGCGCTTTGACTAAGCCGCTAAACTGTATTTAATGAAATTTGGTTATAAACTTGATTTGATCTAGATTCTAGGTCTTTAAATAAAATTAAACTAAAATATTGGAAATACAAATGTGACTTATTCCAAATTTTATCTTTTGCAAATAGATTTTGATTAATGTAATTATTTTGGTACTTGCTCAACTAAAGAAATTAACAGAAACCATAGGTAACTATTGTTAAATTGTATTATCTTAGCAATATAAATACTTAATAAAATACCTAAGTAAATAATAAATATTGATCATTTATTTGAAATGATTCGAGTGACGTCGGGAATACAATTCATGATGAAATTACAATTATTATTGATACTTTTATCAACCACAATGAACGTTTATTATATAACACGTGATATTGTTTAACCTAAATACTCAATAATAATATCTTAGTTATTTAATAATAACACTTCACACATTGATGTAGGGTTGAAATTTGTCTAAAATAAATGTAGAACTTCAATAACATTGTACATATTATGTTCTGTGAGCTTAATTTTTTTATTATCGTCAATATCATATCAATATCTCGATGTCCACAGAAAATACAGCTATTTTTATCCTACTGTATTTGACCTTGTAGGGCGCGATAACAGGCGATTTTAAATTCAGTTGTCGTACCATGTAAGTCCAAGTTTGTGGCAGCACTGTTTTCCGTCGTTAGATGATGTCTTAAAACAGGCGCTTTGTTAGGGAGTAAAACACTATTCCAACGGACTAAGCAAGATCTCTTTATTAACAAGATCATCTTTTTAGGGCTACAAAGGAATCACCTGTTTCATAGTAGAGCGAGATACCCCAGGTCTGACCGTGGCAAAGCCGGAAAACAAATTGGGTATACGTGCATCAGGCACTTGCATGGTACATTTTGATAACGTCAAAATCCCTGAAGAAAACATCCTTGGAGAATATGGAAAAGGGTAAGCGTAATCATTTTGATATGATTTCGTAAAAAATATTACATTACCTACTTTTATACCATTATTTGAAAAATAAATAATTATTTCAAAGCCTAATTACTCTAAGGGTTTATTTTAAGTCGAAACTTAGAGCGACTCTCATGTGTCAAAAACTATTAGAATTGCCAGACATAGTTGGCGCTAAATTTTGACTCTGAATCTCACAATAAACCCTAAATAACTATTTAATGTTGTGTTTATTCGCATAAACAGAAGATAAAATATGTAAAATGTTTTAGGTACAAATACGCAGCTGGTTTCCTTAATGAAGGCCGTATAGGTATCGCTGCGCAGATGATAGGGCTATGTCAAGGCTGCATGGACGCCACCATTCCCTATACATTGGAAAGAAAACAGTTCGGAAATAAGATATATGCTTACCAGGTATTATTAAAACAAAATTTATTTTTACCATTCTTGTTTTCTTGCATTTTGTAGGTTGTATTTAGACTTTAGAGTAACGCGGGCCATGGACGAACCGCATGTTGCAGTCAAGACCGACTACGGTTTGCTCAGGAGCTGCTCGAGCGGTCCGTGTATTGCGAATATGAATTTAGTATGGAAACTGCAGATCGCCGTGCGACGACCGCTTAGAGCAGTCGGTATCGGTATCGGGTATCCTGACGTTTAGAATGCTTTCTTTATATTACATATATACTTATTATAATTAACTTTCATTGGATTTCCTTCCTGATTGAGTTTTAAAACTGATTTTTTCGATTTAATTCTTAACGTACATTCTTTAATATTAGTCACTGAGACATTTCTCTAGAACAGAAAATGTCATACAGAATGAGTGATACTGAAATGAAAATAATGAACTTTCAGGGTATAAGCTATCAAATAGCTCACCATCAGACGCAGTTGGAAGCAGCACGTCTGCTCACATACAACGCAGCGCGATTAAAAGAAAACGGAATGGATTTTGTGAAGGAGGCCGCCATGGCTAAATATTTTGCCTCAGGTATTTCATCTTAACTTCATACATCTCTTTAGGACGTATTATTATTATTAATGACGTTATTATTTTTTTGATACGTATAGGTATTTTCATTGACTAAATCGCCATCTATCGGGTGCACGTGTGAACTATTATTAAATATTTCAAACAATTGTTTATATTGACAATTATAATTAATAGTGACCGTGGGTGTAGTGGTTAATAAGTACGACTAATAGTCATGGGTTCAAACGCCGAGAGAAATTAAAAATATAATATGAAAATTTTAAACAAGAAAACTGTCTTTGGTTACCAACTCGTTGGAATTTGAATCATGAATACGTAAAATTGATCTAGCGACTGCTTTTGTGATATTCTAGCGGCTCATGCTGCATATCTTAGAGGCAACAATAAGAGATACTTTTTAAAGATATACATATTTAGAATTTATTACAATTAACAAGTCTATAAATCACAAAACAGATTAGGCCTGTACATCAGTTCAATCTCTCTTATTACATTACATTACCTTTTACATTGTTTAACTGAATTAGAATTTAATATTTCTTATATAAGAGCTAGGTAAGCTGTTTTTAGTGTATATTTATGGGTTTAATTCTGTTACAGAAATTGCTCAGACCCTAACATCAAAATGCATAGACTTCATGGGTGGTGTTGGATTCACAAGAGATTTCCCTCAAGAGAAATTCTACCGAGACGCTAAAATTGGAACCATCTACGAAGGAACCAGTAATATGCAATTACAGACTATAGCTAAGCTTATTGAAAAGCAATATACACAATAATAAAGATATTTACTGTTTCATATATTTACATTTTTTAAAAATATTATTATTATATTCATTCACATGAAATTATATATGTATTAAATTGCAAATTATGTTAACTATAAAAGACTGTACAATTTTTGGGGCACTTTTTATACTTTGTAAATAATAAACTAGCATTTAAATCAAAATTTGTTTTAATTAAAAGCAATAAGATTAACATTTGTACACTGAGCTACTCCAAAATTTATAATTCTGATATATTCACTTAGGATCATGTGGCATTTTGAACCCCACCATATTAGCAGTTTCTCCCACAGTCCTCTCCCCTTTTCCTTTGAACTCGGTATTTATTTCCCTATAGCGTCTAGCATTGTGAAGGTATTCACAATAGCTTTTAGCCCTAAAATGCATTTCATCTGCTGCTTTACAAAGTTGCTGGTCTGTTGTTTGGTACTTCCGGTATTGGCTCAATATGTATCTTGCCATTTGGTTCTCAGCTAACTTTGGACTTGAACTCTGCTTGCGTAATTCTGATAACAGCTGTCGTAGGGTTGTCAATGCAGTTTTTGATGAAATTGATGCCATTTCAGACCTTCAAACAATATTTAATTTCTCAATCATAAGAGATGTAATAAACTCTTCAGTGTCTTTGTATTCTGGCTTTTTTTGTTGCAACCAGAAGTCAACGGGAGCCAATTTTAACTTATCACTTGGAAAGTAATGAATTGAAGTATCATTAAAAATATCTTTGTACACAAAATTATTTTCTAAGGAGACCACAGTTGTGTAAGAAAATATGTTCTGTATATATGGAACAGATTCTGATAGGACTCTACTTAGTTGATTTTCTATAAGTGATGTAAAACTATTACATAGCAGAATGCAATTTTCCAAATGTGTATTCCAGTTGCTCCAGAGAAAATTATTCGTTAATTGCTTAGGACAGTGAGGTAAATAGACAAAAGTTACACCTTGTTTAGATATTACATAATCGCCTTCACTGTTTTTCTCAATTACAGTCAATTTTAAGCGTTTTAAAAGATCGCACTCTTGCGTACTAAAAATTGGATCGTGGACGAGTATATTATCTATTTCAAAAGCGTCCTTTAGACACAGTAGTAATGCTAGTTGATACCTTGAAATATTGCATTCTCCTATACTTCCAAGACCAAAACAAACCAACTCTACGATCTGTCTATCCAACACAATGTTACTCACTGATTTAATTACGTCTTTAGAAAATTGAGAATCCTTTAACACGTCCACAGCAGATATGATTTTTCTAAAAAATAAATACATTTTTATTTAAACACCAAAACATAACCTTAAAATATCGATACAAATATTGCTCGTATACATACTTGTAAGATTTTTCAATATCAATATTAAACGACTTAGATTTTAGTAAATCAGACTGTTGTCTTGGTACCTTTGTGGATTTGTTTTTAGATGATTTTTTCGATGAAACTATTTGAAAACCATCACTGTCATGTTTGTGACTTGACATTTTGAATTTTTCATTTGAAACCAGTGTTCACAACCTGAAGCCAGGCAGTTATCGTACCAGGGCCGTAAAATTATCGTATATGTGATCCATATACGATAAATTATCGTACAGTCAGGAAAATGGCTAAAAATACTTTAAAAAATCATATGAAACGTGAAAATAAAATGTTGCGAACGAAAATAAAACGATTTATAGTTTAAATCTTGTAAACTTGTGTTTTTCAAATTGAAAAAAATAATAATAATTCAATTTAAATGTTCGAATGGCACAGACCCGAGCTGGGCCCTCGTCCACTTCGAGTGTGATTAAGGCGCCAACATTTCAAATTTATAAAGAACAAAATAATGTTAAAGGATAGAGACACATGAAAACAAGCATATTTTTAAAAGTTTAACTGAATATATTTGCGAGAACAGAATAATAAAAGAAAGATATTTTCTCGTTTAACAATATGGTGTTCGCTCTAAGTGATATACCTATTGTCCGTAAACATCGTATATTATTTTTATCACTTAAAATTCGTTAGGTATTAAAATGCTATCGAAGACTTCCGAATCAGCGTCACCATACAAACCGTGAAATTTTTGGCTGTGCATTCTGATGCGTTTTTGTGTTTGTACATTAACGCTTTGTTCATCCGCTGTAGTCGCCTTGTGACAGCATATGTTCCTAATAGAAAAATAATCCAATAGATGGCACTGCCACTAAAAACTGTAATTGTTATTGGGCTATCTGTGTAATCATCAAATTTTTTAACAGAATGGAAATTATCGTACAATCTGCGTACGATAGTCGTGTACCATCGTACATCGTACGTAGTTATGAGATTACGATAATTATCGTACGGTTGTGAACACTGACTCGTTCAATGGTAAATCATAATACTCAATATATGTCGTCTAAACGTCAGTCATAACTGTCACACGCGTCAATAGGGTAATCTTTGTATATAATATAGAACAAACAAGAAAGTATAAAATGAATAATTATTAACAGTATATTACATATTCAGGATGGTCTTTTTTTTAAGGTTTGAACTACAATAGCTTAGATAAAATGACATCTCTCATAACGATAATTAAGGGCTTGATGGAGATTTCGCCACTTTGAGATAATATGCGATAATTATACAACGATAAAGAAAGCAACGTTTGAATTAAAATAGCTAATTTATTAAATTTTAAATATTTATGAAACAATTATATTATGTGTGTTATCTCGGACCTATTAATTATTTCGGCTGCATGTCAAGAGCACCTCCGCAGCTGATCAATAATAATCAGTAGTATATCTGATGAGCCGTCACTACATGAAAGCTTCAGGTCAATGAAAAATAAATAAGAATAAGTTCCAGTTTTGCGATCGCTCACCAATATCTGACATTATAGTAAACCACGTAGATTAAAGCGCCTGTAATTAAAGTAGAGCCAAAGTGAATATATTTTACTTAGATATCTAATAAGTGAAATTCAAATTGACTGTGGCTGTGAAATTAATTAAGTTAAAGTCTCCACTTTTATTCTGGACATTAGTACCCTACTAACAAAAAATATAAAAGTATTTTTAAAGTGATTTTTGCTCAATTAGAATCCAAGGATACAAAATCAATTGTAACTTATGTACCCGCTTATTGTACACATGTAAAGTATTTATCTATCTATAGTAATGTTATCTATATGATCATTTAACCGTATTTTACCTTAGATCAACATGAAAAATTGCGTTACAATTGAAACTAATTTCACCTAAATAACGTCCTTGACGAAGAATTTAGGCGAAGAAAATTACCTACTTACATAGAGGACAAACAATGTGTCGCATATCGAGTGGTCTATTGTCCGATTTAGGTGCCATATGAAACCATCGCATTCAAATCACGTGCCTGTATTCGTTCCAACATACCGTAACACAAATAAGGTAACAATATGTGTAAAGTATATTATTGACCGTGTAAACTTAGTAACAGGACGACGTCCCTGGAAGAAGGCGCCAAAACGCAAATGTCAGTTACGACTATACATAAATAATTCCATAGACTTTCTAGCGCCGCGTATAAATTCGTAATTAACTTGAATTTATATAACATATCGCGTTAAGGTTTTTTGCCTGTTTAGTTTTATTGCGTCTGTTGGGTGAAGTCAGCGTTTCTTTGATAGTTTTAAATGGTTAGTGAGCAGGGACAATGGACCGGTATGTAGTGAACCGACATTCAATGAAAAGGAGGAGCAATGATGGATTGCTGGCTAAATGGCGGAGGAAGTATGTGACGGGTCTATTGACGGGACGGTCATGGATCACAAGCGGATTTTATTTGAACGTAAGTTTTAATTTATAATATAGTCTTATTATTTAAATTTGTCTCGCTATCATAGCATTTTTCCAAATATAATGTAGATCATAATTTATAGGTAGTAACTTCTATACATACAAGAAGTAATAGAAACAATATAGCGAGTGTAACAACCACAATAAAAACGTGTTCAAAATACAATAATGTAGAAATTGTATTATCTAATATGGAAGCGTGATGTGCAAACACGACACGTTCACATAAAATATAGCGATCGCTCAATCTCCAAATAAGTCACGATAGAAAACAAGGGAAAATCGATTGTCTGGCACTCAACGGAAATAATTTTCTTTTAAAGAAAATTTATATTTCCCTCGATGACGTAAGTTTAGTTAGTAATAATCTCTCAAAGAGCGAATTTCCCGCTCTATATTTCAACTAGTAATTAGTAATGTATGTCATACATTTAAATACAATTATTGTTTTAGTTTATTTTATATAAATTGCTATTTTTATATTATTGATAAATAATTTTCGTTTATCTTTGCTTACTTAGACATTATACATAATTATTATTATTTATTACTTAGACATAATTATACGTAAATGTTTTTGAAACTATTTATCAAATAAAATACTTGTCTTAAACATAATTTTGTCTCAAACAGATATAAAATGTTTTGTTACGCATATATATGATCACTTATTGACTTGAGAAATATTAGGACAAAACATACAATAGGCTATTAGACGTTTATATATATAGTACGGGAGGTAGCAACGTTTTCGAGAAAGAATTTTAGGTCAGCTGATTTTGTGATATGTCTTCCTTCTTGCACTTTCGGTTAGAGTCTGGGCAATCTGGCTGGCGGTAGCGGTTGCGTTCATTAGTGCGCATCCTATCTGTCCAGGTAATAATCCTGGATTTTAAAAGCATTTTAAGAAGCGTAATTTTTAATATTTCGTTTTTAAATAAGTCTACCTGACATACTTTTTTTATTGCCAGACATTTTTCACATTGCTAACTATGTGCCAGACGCGATTTTAAGTTTTTTTTTTATAAAAATTTCAAAGTATTTTAGAATGTCTGTAATTTTAATATTATGTTATTTAAATATAAGAAAAACTAAAAATGAATTTGCCAGACATTAATTCGATTGTTAAGTCTTGAAAATCCAGGATTATTACATGGACAGATAGGATGCGCACTAATGAACGCAACCGCTACCGCCAGCCAGATTGCCCAGACTCTAACCGAAAGTGCAAGAAGGAAGACATATCAGAAAATCAGCTGACCTAAAATTCTTTCTTTTCAAACGTTGCTACCTCCCGTACTAATAGTACGGTTATAAACACGAGTAACAAAATAAAATATCGGGCGTAACATAAACCAATACTAAAGAGGTAAAAACAATTGAGGTTTTAAATGTTTTAGGTCACTAATTATTAGATTATTATTGTCTGTCCGCAATTTTAATTGTAATAAAAAGAAACAGATATCATTTTTTTCATGACCACATACATAATATATTATATCACTTACCGGTCAAGATGACGCATCGCTTAGAAAGCTTTCGTAGCACTTGAAGTCGGTTCGCAGAAGTCTCAGAAACCATTTTCCTAGCAAAACTAAGTGCATTGTATGATTAATAAAACGTAGTCAGATTACTAAAACGTAGAAAATGTAAATGTTCTGGGAATATTGAATTGATCGAATCGTACGTTGAAAATACTCTGCTATAAGAAATTATTTTTAATTTTTAATTATTTATTTAACAGAATAATCTAAATCATGATTCGTTACATTTAAAAACCACTGTGGTTTTTATTAATGTTATTTATTAATATTTCATTTTTATTAATAGCAGTATAGTTTAGGAGCGCCATAAATGCATATAAATATAGTTTTCAACTTTTTATGATGCTTAACCTTATGCTACTTTTTTTTGCTTAAGTATCTATCTAGTCTACCTAAAAACTGACCGGGTTGTCAATTTATAATCTGCGGTCGCAAATACCTCAACGTGCTCTCGGCATAGACGTTGTTTGATCTCGATGCACAGAGCCAAACTTACGTTAAAGATATTTATTTACTTTTCTGTTATGGTCAGTATTATAAAGTAAGTACAATAAATATTTATAAGGAACGAAGAGAACAGCTATTACACTTGATACCCGATAAGTTACGACTGATTAAAGATGCAAAAGGCAGTGTAATATCTTGAATTGAATCTGTGGTGGATGTGTTTAAATATATTACTAGGTAGCAATATTATCTATTCAGTCATTAACTTTGAGTTCGGTTGTTAGACTATTTTATTTTATGTTTGCTTTCATTTTAAATTGAGGGCAATCAGATTCCAATGAAAATATGTTATAGTTAGCATATAGTGCGTGAGAATTAAATGAGAACTTAAGTAGGCGCAGCGCTAACCAGATCTTTGCAACTTCCTCACAATCCAGTAGCCTAATATCTCAGCACACAACTCACGAGAGGCTCTTTGTATTGTTTGTATAATTTCACGTCACAAGTCAAGTTCAATAAGGTCAAATCTTTTAAGGCGGGAGTCTTAAATCTTAGACCTTGAAACTTTATGTCCAAATTGTTGTGTGTCTGGCCAGAAGACATCAGTCTAGACTATAAAATAAAAATATCGATAAAACTAATGTAGAAATGTATGCCCCATTCCCCATTAGGACTAGAAGCTTC